TTCCAGCCAATATGCGTTCAAACCATCTCAGAGCGGAAACCCACAAGAGCGCGATGGTAATGTAAGGCATGGCGTTGATCACTCCCACAATCCACTGATTACGAGTGCACTCTGCTTGAGTCAAGCAGCCATCTTGAGGAATGCCAAACTGTTCCGCGAAGGTGAGGTTGGCACCGTTGGAACCTAAAAACTGAGGTTGAGCACGCCGGTAGCAAGAGGACTAGAGATACCCGTACCTGTTTGATCCCATCCTTGGATGGCTGCGGCAATGGAATTGAGCACAACCGTATAATACAGGCCCCAGGGGTGCTTCCAGCGATGGGTCACTTCCTCACGTAGGAACTGACGTTCCTCGGGGGTCAGCTCCTCGATATCGTCGAATTCGCCTGGTCTCTGGGCGGCCAATGCGCCCTTCTTCAGCTCGGGAAGGATGTCATTCAAGTCGTACAATTGAGCGTACTCCTCCACTTCTCGAAGCAGTCTATCCTTTGGGATCCGAGCCAAGGGGTTTTCGAGGCTGGAATATGTTAGATTAAGAGCTTCCCACAGCAGGTGACAAAAGGGAAATGCAAAGGGGGGGAAGTACTCATCGAGGACCCGCTCGGTTGCCTGGCCAGTTTGCTTATATTCATCAACCCTAGAAGAATAATCGTCAGCTAAAACACGAGCATAAGTTCAGAGACAGGATATACATTTTGGTTGAGAGCCCGAACCCAGGCAAGCGGAACGTTCAGCAGAGATTCTTGAAGGTAAGCTTCAGATGGTGAGGTTTGTCCCCTGTCCGTCAGCAGTTGTTGTGATTGAGGGAACAGGGCATCAATCTAGGAGTATATATATTACTCCTGCTGTCTGGGGTCAGCGGGGATTCATCCATTTTGCGGGTTGCTAATCATGCGTTATTTTCTTTCTTTCCTCTTTTGTTTTTTTAACTTTTGCTCGGGCTTCTTTTTCCCTTTATTTCTATTACATCGCCACGGGTCAGCCCAGGTATTCCTCCACAAACCCCCGCAAGCACGGCAAATGGATGGGGAAGAGGACCCCCCAAACACGAAGTCCGTGTGGCTAAAGTGCCAATGTGATACCATTCGGCCCGGGCGCTGCTGAGATGCGCCAGCGAACTCAAACTCCATGGAGACCCTTTCCTACTACTCCGTAATAAACCCCTGATTGGCACGTTTAGCTGTTTTAGACTGTTCGAGCCAGTTAGTTCAACAAAGAATGAATGGGTCCAACAAAAAACTTGCACCATGATTGGTAAACTATGTTGGAAGTAGTCAACAAAGCCTTGGCTGTCAGCACCCTGCAGATTTTCAACCAGGAGTCTGGTCGACTGCTGTGAGTGTACGGAGAAGTCCGAAGACAGAAAGAATCCCCTTGGATACTTGCCGAGTGATAGTTAGTCGTTCCCGTCCCGACTTCCTTTTTATCTTGTGTACGGAGGTGCGGTGCAGAACTCATTAGCTGCTAGTAATCTTGGCATTTCCACTTACATAGCCATATACTAAAATTGCTATAGAGACCTATAATAGTTTTCAACCTCTCTACTGTGTACAGAGTATCTCTTAACTCTTGGTCAACAGTCAACATAAGCAATTTGAAGCTATACCAAGCCCCCTTTTCTCTCTCTCTAAGATGAATTCAGCGCGGTCTTCCCCTACTATCATATTTTCAACCTACCTGCCTCCTTAACACCCTCCTCAAAGCCCTCAATGCCCTCAAACCCCTCAAAGCCATCAAAGATGCGTGGATCTTATCATCCAGTCACGGTACGCGTGCAGGCACTGACTTTGGCCTACTATGGTATTGATATCAAGCATACTAAGGCTACAACTGGCATGCCTCATCAGATGATTTAATACCAGGTTAAGAAAGCTAGGGAACGCGGCTATAATCTAGAGATAGATCCATGTATCTTACCAGTTTATGTTTTGAATAGCTTCAATATTCGATTCTTAGGAGTTGAGATCAATCGAAGTAAGCTCCTATATAAATTACTATGTAACGTTGCTTGGTCTTATTACAAGCCAAGCTTACTAGCGGCTAGTGAATTTTGCACCACACTCCATACTCTCTATAACTACGACCCAGTAAAAACCCAAACAGAAAACAGGTGGAAACACACACAACAACTGATTCTTTTCCCCTCCCTCCCTCCCAAAGCCAAACCACCATCTCACCGAAATCCAAAGGAGGACAAAAAGTAGTGAGAAAGCGAAACAGAAAGAGAACGTAAAGAAGGCACTCTTTCATGCTGGTCTCCCTTTGGACAAATTTTCCCGCAAGCTCCAGATTTATACTTTAAAGGTTTCATCCACCTTCCCCCACCTTGAGTTAGATGTCGGGCACACACACATGCCAACTTTGGGTCCAGCTGGCTGGGCGTTTGCTAGTTCAAGCCTCCTACTCCTCTCGAGTCCGAGGACCCGTCTTATCCCACAAGCTGGACCGCACAATTTAGTGTTGTACTAGATGTTTTAGTAGCAGACTTTATTAACAAGAAGGATAGATCTAGCCGTCCCGGGGCGGCAGAGTCGCTCTTAACATTCCCCGAATAGAAAGTACTGCGCTCTTCAGTTACCCCATTGGGCAATGTAACCGCTCAGTCAGGATACACCCACCGCCAGACAAACCAGGTATGGAAGCGATAGTATCCGGACCGACTCAGGTGGCAGTAGCAGTTTATTGTTGATGATCTTGCACAGTGATATCATGTTTTGGGATTTAAGACAATATGTGGAATTCAACGGGCTACTGTATAGACAGTCGTAACACTGGTCTATATAAACGCCAACTGCGACAGGAACTGCCTTTCCTCACTCAGTGATAAAGAAAGGCACGCTATGGCATTCACGTTGATACTCATGGTTGCTTTGGCCTACCTCTGCGCCAGACCATTCATTGTCTATTTCTATGACGCCAAAGGCTTGCGGAAGTACCCCAACCTGAATCCTCTATCCGGCATAACTAGCCTCGCCTATGTCTGGGAGCATTCGAACAATTTCCGGACGAGACGCCTCTACCTTAAGCATCGAAAACATCCTGTGATTCGTGTAGGACCAAACGTTCTTTCCTTTGCTGACGTGCGAGCTATCAAAGACATTTACGGCCATGGTACTCCCTGCCGCAAGGACGACGTCTATAGCCTTACTGTAGGCAGCCACGCTCATATCCTCAATACGGTGGACCGTGAGGATCATAACCGCAAACGCCGAATGCTGTCCCATGCTTTTGCCACCCGCAATCTCGAGCGATGGGAATTCAAAATAGTTGATAAAATCGGCAAACTTATCACTCAGCTAGATCGGAGGTGTACGGCCCCACTGTCGGATAGGCACCATGTCAATTCGGAAGATTTGACCCTTGATTTCACACTCTGGTCGAATCTCTTTACTATTGATGCCATCGCCGACCTGGCCCTAAGTGAACAGCTTAATCTGCTGGACTCGGGTACTGACGTCGTCAAGGTGGACAACATTCCAAGTCTCAAGTTCATTGACAGCTTGCATGGCGGGAACTATATCACCTCTCTCTTTGTGGGAGCAGCGAACTGGTTTGCTGTCCTGAAGGCTCTTTCTCGCATCGTGTCTCCGCTATTTCGTGCGCAGTGGGACCATGGGAGAAATTATGGCAGGATTGTCAGCGCTCTGACTGGCAAACGCTTGGAAAAGCACCAGCGCGGCGGTCAACTGGGAGACCTCTTTGCATGTTTAATGGAGGATAACAAGGGCAACGCCCGCGGTCTCGAGAGAGGGGAGCTTGAGGCTGAGGTAAACGTGCTCTGTAAGTCACCTTTGCGGGTGGAATAATAATATGATCTAACACAATTCGCTGCAGTGGATGCTGGCTCCGATACTACAGCGATCGCCTTGACGCATGCCCTGTATTACCTGATCAAAACTCCACATGCTTTGGCAACCCTCAGGAAAGAGGTGGCAGGCGCCTTCTCCGAAGAACCCATCGCACGCTATGCCAGCGTCAAGAACCTGCCTTACCTAAAGGCGTGCCTGGAGGAATCGCTGCGATTGTCCCCTCCTGTTTCAAGGGGCCTCGAGCGCAGAACACCGCCTGAGGGCATGCGGATTATGGGGGAGGAAATTCCCGGAGATGTTGGGGTTTCGGTTCCAGTGTATGTCGCCCATCGAGATCCCGCGATCTTTCCGGAACCGGCACTGTACCGGCCGGAAAGATGGCTGGAGAGCGAAGAAAATGTCAAGCAAATGCGGGAGGCGTTCGTCCCTTTTTCAACCGGCGCTCGTGGCTGCATCGGGCGCAATATCACCATGATCGAGCAGCAGCTTGTGATTGCAACCCTGGTCCACCGTTACGACTTTGCACTGCCATCGGACCATTGGAGTCTGCAGCATAATGAGGCATTCCTGTTATGGCCAGGTCCAATGCCGCTGAAGATCTGGAGGCGAGACCTGGGCAGCGCAACATCAATGAGAAATGACCTTTGACGGCCGCGTGGCTCCCGTTAAATCATGTTCAAATTTAGAAACATGCTCTAGTTCAGTCCGGAATAAGGGCCATGATATGAGTACTCTGGTTCAACGAATCTTGATCTGTTGCGTTAGTTGCTTGACTCGATCGCTCGTGTGAAAACCCAGTTTGCTCTCAATCCGATCTAAAAGAGCCCAGATCTTAACCTTTTGAGCAATACATTCAATGTGTTTCGCCGCTGTAGAGCAGTAAGTACCTATTATGTGTGATTGCAATTGACCGCATTTACGCTTACCAAAGTATAAAGACTGGACTGTTTGCACTAGAGCACCGTCAGATATAGGCGAAAAAGCTATGCTGGCGATTGACCGTGCATGTTCGTTGATATCAGACTAAAGAATTCAGTATAGACCAGAGCAATTAAGGGAAATGCTGGGCTCATAGTAATCACCTGCGGGTTTTCTTGAACAGCAATAGACAAATTACACCCCTCTGCAAGTAGTAGCAGGTGCGCCAAATGATGCATACACATCGCAGCGGCTGAGACCCGTTAGCTCATTCTAAGTTAAGGTGGTATTGGGAGACTCTTTACCAGTTGATGGTACCGCAAACCATCGTGGGAGGAAGCCTTCTTCTAACGGGGGACCAAAAGCTGTGCCGCGGAAGGACTCGGGCAGGCGCTCATGCCAGGCATCTAGCTCTTTTATTAAACTAGCTCTACCTTCCGAAAGCGCCTGGACACTTCCAGTCGTGCTTCGAAAAGTATGCGCAATAACTCTGGCCAAGAGCCAAACCATTTGATTGCCCAGCTGGCCCTCCCTGGTCTCTTGTTCGTCCCATGAGACACCCCACTCATCAGGCGGAAGCATAGTCGGACATTCATGCACCAACGCCATGGCAATATCCTGTCGAGCATACACCCAGAAGGCCGCCGCCATGAGGCCCTCGGAGCTGGCTCGACAAGCGTGAGTTCGAATTAGAGTTAAAGCGCCCGACACATGGCGTCGATGGTCCAGACCTGGTGAGGCTAGCAGCTCGTAGCTGCTTAGCAAGATGGTGGCCGCCAGAATGTCCACGGGGCAAGATGTCGGACAATCCAGGCTGGCGATCAATTGGCGCAGGCTCTCTCCGTAGTACTGGACTGCTACTGGCTTCCACACCTCGCCGCCTTCGTCGACCATGGTGATGTGCCTGGCCGTAAGGGCGCAGATGGCACTCATCAACAGCGAGCATCGGAGGGCCCGTTTAACGACCGTACGTTGGAAATTAGCTTCGTCGTCAAAGAGGTCCATCCACGCTCCAACACCATTCTGATATGCTTGGATCAGCGTAACCTTTTCAGCGTCCAGGGACAGGGGGGTCTGGCTGTCTGGTTGGGGCGTCTTGCGGGAGGACACTTGGGGAAGTGGAGCTAGCGAGTTATTGAATACATCCCAAGTAGATGCCGGACCAGGGCGATCATCTTTCAAGCCGGATGGGTCTGTGGCTAACTGACACCAGTCGGAGGCGACAATGAAATTTACTGGTTCGCATTCCTGATTCAACCGCTGGCATCGTCCACAGCGGGGCTGTCTTTCGTCGCATTTGTGGTGGCTAGCTCTGCAGCGGGTACTGTCACTCACAGTCAGAGTTTGGTTGGTTGTAGGTTTAATTAGCTGGGCTGCTTACCATCCTGCATTGTCTATGTTAGTAGTCTATGCAGGAGTCATAGAGGGATGGGGGTTGCACGTACCTGTCCTTCGCCGTTTCCCCGGTTTTCTTAGGCTGTGCATCTTTTTATACTTGCGAACCAAATAGCAAGCTTTCTATTCCTCCATTCCTAATCAACGGAACCAGTCAGCCAGACGGAATCTTGAAGGGTCTCTATGCCGGAAGAGAATGGTGGTCTGAAGGGATTCTAGGGTCAAATGAAGAGCAGTATAGGCTACCGACACTGTGTCAGTGCCAGAGTGGCTGACAATGAGTTCCCGGCTAACCCCATACGAGCCATCGGTCTGGAGGCGGGGAGGATAACGGAGACATGGTAAGACGACTTCTGAACCAGAAACCCCGCTAACCCGCCAAGACGTGTCGAGACTGAGTGACGATGGGTTGCAACTATCCCGACGCTCGGACAAAGGCCGAAGTGACTTGTGGCTTGCTGGCTTGTAAGGATGAATTCCCCTTCCACCTGCAACATGCCGCATTCGTATTAGGACGATATTTTAGCACACTTTGCTGGGCGGTTCCGCTCACAGATCCTTTAATTAAATTTAAGCCATCACTGCAATAATTCCCTCCTACTGAAGCCACTATATTCACTTATCAGACTCACAGATGTCTTTATGGAATATGCAAGACAACTTAAACCTTAACAATCCTATCAGATGTGAAAACTTTATGTTATTGTTCTAGACTAAACCCCAGCCTAATCCGAGTTGCTATGATAGGCTGGCTATCTACAGGATATCATGCTAACAAATAATCTAAAGTACCTCAAAGCAGCAACTTACTAATGAGTGGTCTTATAACTAAGCAGAGACAATAAATAACGGGATGATTCATTCACTTATGGATAATAATGAGCACACAATAATGAATATCATGCTCGGATCTGGGTTCCATCGGTCTTGGGCGACCACTCAAAGAAAATCATTGCAGGGCACGCAGCTGGAACTCTAGCGGAGGAGCTTTGGTAAACCAAGGATATATGTATCAGGATGCTCTGATATCAGGCGGCACGCAGACAGTGGTCGCGGGCCTATGACCGGTGACCGACTTGGTTGACATTTCCTTGGGAGATTCTCAGAGCCCGCAACAGCTCTGAGCTAGAAGAAAATGAGAAAAGGTTTTGTTACTACGCTTCTAAAAGGGATATAAATCGGATCATGTCTTTTCTATCTGCTCCGCTTAGCCACAACCAATATATTGCGTCCTCGCTTTGACTGGCTGCTCCTTCTGCCACCGGACAGCGTTCGCGCTATTCCACCTGGCAACGGTACTAAATGGCAACCGCCAGATGAATTTGCAGATCCACGATTCTGCTTGTGAGGTTCAGTCGGGGTTATCCAACTAGTATACAGCAGCTAACGATGTGCAAACTGAAAGGAGATCACGATGTTCAACCAGGGCCATATCATGCTGCGAGTATGCAAACACAGCTAATAAGATTGGTATTCCTCCGAGTTCAGCCTGTCACTGTTGCAAGAATATGGAAACTGCATTTGGCTCTCAGACCTGTAAAGTGCCTGACTTACCAGACCAACCTGGGCTAAATCCTTGGAATTACCTATGTTGCCTATTGAGTCCCTGAATTAGCATGATATTCCTGACGTTCAAGAAATGAGACTTGCACCTATGTAAGCAGAAGGACTACGACTCAGATTAAGAATGCACTTCCAATGTTCGACGCATCCTGCATCTAAAGCTCAACAACTGGAGACATGTGATTGCAGGGATATCCAACTTTCTCTGTTATTATGGGCTACACATGAGCTTCTGCTCTTCATAGTTCTTTGTTGATAAGCCATAAGGAGTTTTGCATCAAGAGTGTTGCTGGATTTTTATGCTGGCATCAAAGGCAAGTATTTGTTTTATACTAATGAAATTTAGATGCATCTGTCAGTCTCTAATCAAGTACCCTATAAATATCTGTAATTACCAACCCAGTTCTCACTCATAGTATAAATTTCTAAGAAATTAGAGCTCTAGCTAAGGGACTGGAACATCCATGTACTAATATGTCTACTAATAACCAGCGACTATATTAGGAATTATAAAATATGTTTAAAGTTCTTTTAGCCGTCCTTAGAAATACCACTGCTATATATGCAACATCTGCCATCTAGAATACTAGACAGAGCCAATATTATGATTCCTCTAGGATCCCTTCTCGTGATGCCTCCTCGATTATCAGCTGTGCATGTTGTTTGCTTCTCGGAGTCACCTTCACTGGAAATGGTTCTGGGTGAAATGATGGTTGAGACGTCGAGAATCAATGGGACCGGACTGTATCTGTTAGACCATCACCATAGGCATACCTTGTGGATGAGGCTTACCGCGGCATAATCGTAATAAAATACCCGCAGGGCGAGGCTGCCGAAAGGCCCTCTTTGGGCCCAGCGATATCCTACACAGATCCGTCTTCCGCCACCAAATTGCTAGGGGCCATGTACGTTATCAGCTTCATGACCGTCGAGCCACCACTCGGGCTTGAAGACGTCTGGGTTCTGACTCATAGCACCCAGGGATCTCGTTGACCACAAACCAAACTCCAGCGGGGATATGGTACCCTTCGAATTCCAGATTAGAGGTCAGGACATGGTCCGGGGTTGAAGGGAAGATGGGCCTCCAGCGGAGGAGCTCCTTGATGATAGCGCAGGTATACGGCATCTGATCCATATCATCAAGCACCGGCAGACGCAACTTTTTCTTGTCCGTCCCGCAGAGCCGGTCCACCTCCGCCCTTGCCTTCTGGAAGACCTCGGGATAGCAGAATAAAAGAGCGGCCATGGCGGCTGACAATTCCGCTGGCGACTGGCACTGGAGACCGGCCGTTCGTGATGGAGCCACGCTTAGCGAAAATCTCAGATACAGCTCTTTGGCTGTTCGGAATATCCACGTTTTGCTTCCCAGGTGCACGGTGGTCATTTCGCCGTACTTAGTGAGGGAGTTAACCTATATTAAAATTAATCCTTTCAGGTTATATAAATTAAAAATAAACCAAACTAAATCTAACTATAGTAGTGACTACCTATCTAGGCCCACTAGCAGATTTTATAAATGTCAGATTCGTTAAAGGATTCTAGCTCATAGGAACTTATTCAGTACAAACATAAAGTATGGAGCAACCGGATGGGAGATAGGCTTCCAAGTTTCTAGGCAAGGTGCCTATTTGTACTGTTGTACATGGTGTACAAATGGTCAATGAGCAACACCATCCAACACTTAATGCGTCGTCATAAGCCCCCACTATCATGGCGGATCAACGGTTCAGCAACGGCGAGTCAGGGCAACGCCATGATTGGCTCAATTTGTTCCTTGCTCCAGTAATTGCACCCTAATAAGACACCACTGGCTGCACATATCCCTATTCAGTCTGCTAGTGCGTCAGATGATAATATGTCCGGCATATAAAGGGCGACTTCCCTGTCAGCCCATCCTTTGTCGGCCAGACCGTCCCGCGAAAATGACCGCCGAGGCAGAGGCCATCACTGTTGACTCGGGCGATGACTGGGCTTCAACTTACACAGCGACAGACTCAGAGGTAACCTCCCTCCGCAGCAGTGTCTTTGATTATGTCTATGAAAATGGGCGACGATACCACGCCTACCACGCCGGTGCGTACTGGGGGTCGAACGATGAAAAAGCGATAGATGCGATGGATATCTGCCACTTTTTGTATGGTCTCCTTCTCCACGGCGAGTTGCATCTCGCTCCATTACAGAATCCGAAACGAGTTCTGGATATCGGGACGGGGACGGGGGCCTGGGCCGTTGAGTTTGCGGATATGTATCCCACAGCCACGGTCATCGGGACTGATCTCTCCCCTATCCAGCCGCGGATGGTACCGCCGAACCTGAGCTTTGAAGTCGACGATTGCTGTGACGAGTGGATGTACCGGGAGCCGTTTGACTACATTCATGTGCGGGGGCTGTATGGTTCCGTGGCCGACTGGAATAGGTTTTATCAACAGGCTCTGAAGTACGCCGTCGCCAATTCTGGAGTGGTCTAGTGTGCTAATGAAGGTGGTGAAAGACACCTAGTACCGGGCGAGTATATCGAACAAGTCGAGATGGGAGTTGTGCCTACATCAGATGACAAAAGTCACATTGGCACCGTCTACGAGAAATGGGGCAAAGCGAGCCTGGAGAGCGGTGATCGATTCGGCAAGACCCTTCGCATTGTCGACGAGTCCAAGCAGCGCATGATCGACGCCGGATTCGTCGAGGTGGTCGAGCGACGATACAAACTACCGATTGGGCCGTGGCCGAAGGATAAGCACCTGAAGACGCTGGGGAAGTACTTTCGGTTGGTGATCGAAGAGAGTATGGAAATGTGGGTGATGTACTTGTGGACCAATGTGCTGGGAGTGAGTGCTTGTCACCCTCATTCTCTCTAAGCGGGTACTGACTCCTTCGCAGTTTTCTAGAGCCGAGGTTGAAATGACAATTGCTGAGATGAGAAAGGCAATCCGCGATCCCAGCATCCACGGTTATATCCATGTCTCGGTGGTGTATGGTCGCAAACCGGACAAGTAGCATTTCAACCCAGTCAGTTTGTTTGTCATGATTGTGATCAGGAGAAATGTGTCGCTCCCCACAATCAAACATATTGTGTGTGTCCGTACAACTGAACTGTTTTTCTGTAATTTTTATTCAATTGCCTGATATGGGTGCCGCTGCTTTTATGAGGGCTGCAAATAAGAGCGCCCTCCGCACTCCAGGCACTTATTAAATACTCACTGAGCACTCACTGAGCACTCACTAACTACTCTAGCAGCTCCTGGATTCCTTACTAATGCTACTGACATAACTACCACCTAAGTAATCTGGAACAGCTCAGGCTCACACCCGTACAGAAAATCATATGATCCTTTTTGGCCGAGGGCATCACGAGTCAACTGCTTGGTTTAGGACGTTGACACGGTAGCTCTCACTACGCTCCATCAGCTGTGCGTGCGTGCCTTGATCAACGCACCTGCCATTCTCAATCAGGAAGATCACATCCGCCTTGCGGATAGTGTATAGCCGATGCGCAATGGCAATAATGGTCATATGTTTCGCAGCCTTCTCGAGGCCATCCTGAAGCAAGCGCTCGGATTCCGCATCCAGAGCACTTGTCGACTCATCCAGAAGCAGGAGCTTAGGCTTACGAACAAGCGCCCGCGCAATCGCTAACCGTTGCTTCTGTCCTCCTGACAGCCGGTCGCCATTTGGCCCACAGAGTGTGTCGTATCCATCAGGTAACTGCATGATCGTGTCGTGGATGTTGGCCGATTTGCACGCTTCCTCGAGTTCCTCCTGGGAGACTGTTTGACCGGGTCTCGCACCGAGGGTCAGATTGAATCGGATGGTTCCATTGAACAGGACACTTTGCTGCGGAACGTAGGCAATAGCAGAGCGGAACGAGGTATCTCCGTACGCGATGTTATGCCCGTCGACCTCAACGGTTCCCGACGCGGGAGCGTACAGGCGCTCAACGAGCGAGACGATTGTTGACTTGCCAGCACCGCTTGGCCCCACAAGCGCTGCAAATTGCCCGCGTTGAATGCTCAGGTCCAGGCCATGCAGAATTTGCGTATCTGGCCGTGCAGGATAGGAGAAGAAGACCTGCTTGAAGGCGACGCTGACACCCTCAGCCGATGGCGGTGCCTTCTCACTAGTTGCCGTGGCTTCGACATCCCACACCGGAGTAAGAGGCGCAGAAAGCTTCTTAGTCGATCCCATGTCGAGCAGGTTCAGTAGACGTCGTGTAGCACTGAACGCGCGCGACACGTCGGGCGCGAGGGCGAACGCCTGTCCCCATAGCTGGGAACTAACAAGGAGAGCAAGCTGCACGATGAAGAACTGGGTTTGAGTGTATTCGCCTGCGATAATGCGCGCTGATCCCCACCAGTAGGCCAGCGCATAGAGGAAATTACTCAGACCGTAACCAACCGCCAACCACAGATTGGCCCAGGCACTGTGCTTCGTGATTTGGCGCATCGGTTCCTGGAGTGAGCGACGGTATGTACCGAGAATCTCGTGCTCCAGTGAAAGCGACATAACCGTCTTGATGGAGTTGACGGCCTCGACGGTGATGGCATTGGAGTTTGCGAAAGCTTCTAGATGTTCCTCCTCAAAGCGGGCTAACGTGGTGACGCGCATGTAACCGGCACCCAGGAGCAGTGGTACAACTGAGAGACATACTATCGCAATCTTCCAGGCAATAATATGCGTCATGGTGATAGTCGCGACAAGACTGACAAAGATCGACAGGATCGTGCAAATCACAGACCCAGTCAGGCCACCGAGGGCGGTGCTGTCCTTGGTAATCAGCCCAAGGAGAAGAGATGGGTTCCGGCCTTTGATTTCGTGCCATTCCAGATCCTGTTCGAGAATAGACCGCAGAGTGAGTACGCGCACCTTGTACATAACCTGTTCGGCGACCCAGCCAAAGAGAGACCAGCTGAAGAAATTGGCACTGAACTCAATGATGGCGAGGATGAAAAATAGAAGCCCAAACAACTCACCCGCCTGACGGATGGAGCTAGGTTCTTCACAGTAACTGAGCTTACTGACAACGTTACCGAAGATCACAGCTGATCCACAATATGTGCCGCCGATAACGATTGCTCCAACAGTTGCGATGACCAGCACGAACAAGTATGGCCGCAACAGGGCACCCATTGACTGTGCGGTCGCCCAGAACGTTCGTTCGCCCCCCACCCCTTCGTCCGCTGGTCCCCGAGTATCAGCATGAGGGATATCAGCGACGGTCGATGTCTCAAGGGTCCCGGCCTTCTCGGAGATCTCTTCCGTGGAACAGTTGGAGCTCGCAGAGGCTGTATTGTTATTCTCCTCGCTACCGTTGATGTTGAGGTCCTGGAGACGAACGAGCTCAGCATACGCGCCACTGGCATCCATAAGGTCCCGGTGTGTTCCTTGCTCTACCAGCTTGCCCTGTCGAAGAACAATGATATTGTCCGCATTCTTGATAGTCGACAGCCGATGAGCAATTATGATCACGGTTCGTCCAGCTGCCAGTTTGCCCAGGGCCTGTTGAATCCGCAATTCCGAGGCCGAATCGAGGGAGGCAGTAGCTTCATCAAGAATGAGAATACGTGGATCCTTGACCAAGGCACGGGCCAGAGAGATACGCTGCTTTTGCCCGCCACTAATGAGATGACCCTGGGCACCGACAGAAGCCCCGAACCCTTCCGGCAAACGTTCAATGAAACCGGTCGCATCAGCCAATACAGCAGCATTCAGCGTCAGTTCCACGATTTCCCGGACGAGGTCGCCATGCTCCTGGGAGGCTGCCGCCAAGGATTGGCCATCTCGGACTGCAGCGGCAACTTTGGCAAGGACGTCGCTCATCAGCGCCGGCCGCAGATGCTCATGCTTGGGTGAGTTGATAAGACCAAGGGCAATGTTTTCCAAGATTGATCGGTTGAGGAGACAGGGCTCCTGTTGTACGAGACTGATATGACTTCGAACTGACCTGACGTTCAGCTCTCTGAGGTCGTGGCCATCCAAAAGCACAGTGCCCTCGACTGCATCATAGAACCGGGTGATCAGTCCGGCAACTGTGGATTTACCACTACCGGAAAGGCCAACGATGGCAGTCTGCTGACCAGCTGGGCAGAGAAAAGACAGACCTTGCAACACGGGCTTATCGGGACGGGATGGGAAGGCGAAATGAACATTGCGCAGCTCCACCTTCCCGGCAACGTCTGAAAGCAAACCACCTGTGTCTTCGGCGGTGCCGTCAATAATCGCAGGCCGGTTCATATCAGCCTCCAACTTGGCAAAAGCTACGGATGCGGCATCAAAGCTTCGCAAGAATGGAGCAGATTGGCTGAGTACCAAGGACGCTGGAACAGCCGGCTTAGTATAAGCTTCCATTAACAGTCTGAGCCAAGGGAGATCAACGTACCGTCTATGAGAATTAGGATGACAGTGAATGTGTCTCCAACCGTAATGCCACCGATATTCAACTCTACCGCACTGGCGATCTGTCGCGACCCTTGCCAGAAAGCAAGACCGTTTGCCGAGAAGGCAATGAAATACAAAAGACCAGCCTGCAATGCCACAGCCACAGATTTCCATACGCCGGCCGACAGAGCTGGCGTCAGGACTTCGACAAACCTCTCCTCCAGGCGTGCATTGGCAGAGAAGGCGTGCACAACCAGTGGATTGGAGATCGCTTCCAAAGCGGCGGAGGATGCCATGGCCATGGCCTCTATTGAGCGTCCCACGTACTTCTGCACAAAGTATCCACCACCTAGTGCCATGGTGAGGTATGCGGGAGTGAGGGATACGAGCATGCCAGCCAGTTTCGGATCCTTAATGAAGGCTACAACGTATGCGGCGACGAAGAAAGACACACTGCTGATTACAATGCCGACCTTTTCGTTCGTCCCCTGCTGCACGACAGATATTTCGTCTGTGATGCGTGCAGACACCTCACCAGCGGGCCTGTTGTCGAAGAACGTTGTATCCTGTCGCAGAATGGCGCTGAAATATCTCTCGCGTATGCGCTGAGCCAACCTCTCACTGAAAATGTTCCAACAAAGGGTGTGGATATAAATGAGTGCAAAATAGGCGATTCCAACATAGACAATCAGCAGTATCTTGGAATTGATCCCAGCCTGGTAGGATGCGGCGGTGGAGGGGTCAACATCGCAGGTAGCCGAGTTCAGTCCGTTGACCAGCTGTCCAAAGACAATTGACATGATCGGGAACGGGACTCCGGATGCAACAGCGGCAAGGAAGCCAACGAGCAGGATAATTAAATCTGTGGACGAGGGGACAGCATAGAACAGCAGACGGCCGAACGAGGTGGCGCGGCGCCAGATCTGAAGAAAGTAGACATCTCGATGAGCCTCAAGGCATTATACAGAGCAAATGACTCGAAAGGAATAGAACGTACACTTGGCTTCGCTGATGCTTTTACCTCCGTAGAGGCTTCCGATGTGGCAGCCATGATGGTTGACACCTCTTTTCTCTGTCTCTGATCTTTCTCTATCCTCGGTGTCTCCGGAAGATCAAATAGGATGTTGCAAGGAATGCGAGCAAAGAATTCCGTGTAAGTATAGCTAAACGATTCTCTTTGCCAAGGTGTATGCCCGGCGCCGCTGCCGCCTCCTTCTGCGTAAGATCATTGTGACCACAGAGGAGCAAGTCTCCACCAGTCCTTACGTTTCTTTACAAAATGGCTAACCCGGTATCGGAAAGATTCTAGCCGAGGCGGGTACTTTGTATCGGTTTGGACGCTATCAGGTCTGTCTGACCATTCCCGCAGCGGCGGGGTGGGAGGCGCATGCTATTGATCCGATGTGATAAGATTGATAATTCTTTGATCAGATTAGGGTTTTTGGTTCGATGGGTCACTACTCGCGAGCATGGTGAATAGTTCCGATTGGGCCAGGGGTCACAAGTATATTGGTCCAATTTCTGCGATCCTAGTAATTTTTACACGACAATTTTACCCCTTAAAGTAAGCCCCCAGCCGGCAGCTTGGAAACCCGCCAGTGGATGCCTGCCTCGGAGTGGAACCCGAAATCGGGCCTTACAAGAAAATGCCTGAGACCGCCTGTTTGCTGTTTTCTCTCCAAATGTACACTTGGTCCAGTCTCATAAGACGAAACCCCCCTTCCCGCGCAATCGCAGTCTCCTGCACTGTAATTGGGGATAGGTTGTGATTTCTCGCAGACCGTCTCGCGGGGCTTCAGCGTTTAAATAGGTAAAACCGTCAAGATGGGGGACAGGCCAACCCCAGTCCCGCTTCCCAACTCGGAGCAGTTCTACCTGGAAAGCGACCAGGGTGAACCGTACCTTATCCAAGTATCTTGGCCACTGCATTGGGAGGATAAACAGACTGGTCGTGGGGCTCTTCCTGTCATGTAAGCGCTCACAGATGGGCCTAGAATCCTGCGAGGATGTGTCGGCTTACCTACTTGAACCAGCTACATTGTTGACGGGAATGCATTGTTCCTGACTGCGACCGAGGCTGCGTGGCGTCGTGCGGCCGCCTCACATTACGCTGGCGGAGGCATCATTGTCGCTATTGGATACCCCTTAAACGGAAAGCTCTATGATTCCCGACGACGCAGTCTCGACCTGACTCCCCCCACGGCGTCCGCACTCCCCGGGTATGGAGGTGCAGATAGATTCCTTGACTTCATTGAGAATTCTGTTCGACCTGCGGTGAAGGCTCGGTTCCCACAGGTGTCCCTCGCCAGAGAAGCACTTTATGGTCATTCCTATGGGGGTTTGCTCGCACTCCATGCATTATTCACACGCCCTCGGTCCTTCGATTGCTACATGGCTAGCAGCCCCTCAATCTGGTGGAATAGTTTATGTATCTTGCACGAGGCAAGGGCCTTTGTGGAAACCAAGAAGGGTTCAGATGACAAATGCCCATCGTTGATGGTTTCCTGGGGTTCCTGGGAGCAAAATCCACCGCAGTGGGCTAACGAGCTGCTTGATCACTACGAAGCCAGAAAACAAACCGCAGCGGAGTTGAGAATGGCAGGCAATGCTCTGGATCTGTGTACGATGCTGCAAGGGTGCAGCCAGCTACACGCCCTGATAAAAACTGAGTATGAGGGGGAGGACCACACGAGCGTGATGTCGTGCTCATTGAGTCGAAACCTGACCATGTTCTTTGAGGACTGGCCATTCCACCAGTCGTGGTGAATCTCCACCAGCGTCTGGTGTGCAGAACTTGATTTTAGTGCAAAAATTTTGCTGCTTGCCACTCCCACGAGACCGTTCATGTACGATTTCGGATATTCTAATTACCTCATGGCTTGCAAACTCTGCATTGGATGGTACCTTGCGAATCCTCCGATTATCGGACATCAGAATGGAAACTATGGGCGTATGGAACCAAGAGAATAATAACAGGGGTCATATGTAGGAAATTAGCAAGCACGCGGTGTCTCAATTTGTCAACATGCAGGACAGTCTGGCCACTAAGCTCAGGCCATAAATGAACCAGGGCTAGTGGTAGCATGTCCTGTCAGACGGGACAAGGGGATCGAGACCATAAAATACAACTAACTTTTCTTCGCCTGGGTAATGAGCTTGCGTTAAGAAAAGAAAGGCTTTTCAAGAAAGGCTTAATATGATGCATTCGATTTTAACTCTGCTTTCAACCAAAGTTCGACAATCCTCGAAGACTCGGCCAAGACTTTCCTTTTTCCGTCTTTGGACTTTGGGGGCCAGCGGGGAGTCTGGTCTAGGCGGGCGTTCGTAAGTAACGCATCCAGGCATACCACGCGTATTGTCCTAAGGAATTGTCTAGCTCTAGCCGGTGGTAGGAATGCCATGACTCGAAGGTTCTTGGCAAATGAGTTATCTTATCTGATTGAGATTGTGGTGTGACATTGACGAATCAAGACCCTGCGCACTGTCTTGCCAAGGCTGCCTGTTTCGGGTTTAGGTAGTAGGTACTCTTGGAGCCCCCATGCTTCCCCACCGGGGAAGCTAAAGAACTGTATCACATGGCGCCAATCTAGACAGCAGTATACGGAGTACGGACTTTACGACCATGTTGATAATTACTGTAGATACATACTTGACCCTGAGCATGTAGCTGCGTTTTATTCTGGACATATTCTCAGCAGTGTTCCAGATCTTGAGGCTTTTCAGGCTTCTCTTTCCAGTCCATGGGGGCTATTGACCGTCTGCTGCAATATCATTTCTACTAGCTAGAGATAGTTGTCCTGAACACCTTTTTTAGACTTGTAGTATTACTGCATTAAACAGGAACTGGAATGCAATCCACCTGCAGGTGGTACCATCTTCATGAATGAAGAATCAATGTATAATTGTCACTCCCAAAGGCCAATGAGCGACGGACTGGGCATATCGACATTGCTACTCACGAATGCTCACCCGCTGCTATTTCCTACAGAAGAAAAGATCAACTAGATGGAAATTAGTTGACACTAGGAGCTGTACTGCATCTTTCTTACCATTCATCGAAATTGCGGCTTTATCAATGCTGCGTCGGACATGCCCATTAAAATGTTCCCCTAAAACCAACCTGCAGGGTATATAGGGAAGCAAGAGGTACACATGGAGAGACGCCGTAGAATCACTCTGGAGGAGAAAACAAAAAAAAGAAAAAAAGGTCCTACAAACCAACAGAAGCAAGACTCATCAACTCTCTTTTACTCATCGTGCCCCAACCACCCTCTTTACAACATGACAATCAACGTTCAGCCCACTCTGCACACTTCACGCCTGGAACTAGTCCCCCTGGGCCACGAGCATCGCGAGTTCACGATGAAGTTGGACATGGACCCAGAGGTCATGAAGATGGTCGCCTTCGGCCGGCCATTTACCGAAGACGAAGCGATCCAGGTTCATACCTGGCTGATGAACTGCGCAACGTCTGTGCCTGGTTTTGGAACCTGGGCCGGCTTTGCCCAAGGCGAGTTCGTGGGTTGGTGGATACTGGCTCCCGTTCCCACGAAGGAAAACCCCGAGAGGTTCATGACCGATCGAACGGAGTATGGCTTCCGAGTATCGCCGAAGTTTTGGGGCCAAGGGTACGCGAAGGAGGGGGGTCGGGAGATGGTTCGCTATGCCTTCGAGGAACTTGGTCTGGCGGAGGTGATTGGCGAGACGATGACTATCAACATGGCTTCTCGGGCGGTTATGGCCGGGTGCGGGTTGACGCACGTTGAGACCTTTTTCAACAAGTACGATACTCCGCCGCCAGGGATTGAGGAAGGGGAGGTGCGGTATTCGATCACCAGGGAGGAATGGTTGCGTATGGAAAAATCCAGCATGACCCAAAGTCGCTGGTTTCCGGCTTTCGCCAGCTGGCCGCCACGAATGCTCCTGTCCAGGCTCTGGTCATATTTTTCCAACGGCCTACGCTCGTAGCTGGGGCGGCCAACCCCTGAACACAATGAAGATACCTTCATTTCTTTTAGAAAATATGAAAATTGTTTCTCCGTTTCTTGGAAGTCATGAATTAAAGTGTTTGGAGTTAGATATGTTGGGACGTATTTCGGGACTCTTACCTGGCATCACCCAACATCCTCTGTGGCGCCATTTGCGCCATGCGCGCCATGCATAATCTCTCGTTGGGCGTAAGGCTCGATGGTTTGATCTTATCAATCTTCAGCCGTGGAATATTTCCGCTTCACGGTGGCGCCAACTAACAGTAGATTGGGCACGGATCGGACCATAGCGACCTCGTTAGCAAGTGATGTGTCTGTAATTGACTGTATTTGCTCCGAACTGCTTGGCACGCTTGTTTTCCATGTGCTATTGGCGAGAAAACGAGGCCATAACCCCCCCGGTCAGTCTATCCTTGTTAGGCCCGTACAAGCGTGGGACGGCTAGGCGTATGGGCACTGGTATCGCGCGGTAACACTGGGTGTGGAAAAACTCTTTGTCTGTAGCATCGGTTGCGTAAGGGCCCGACATTCTCTAAAGAAAACACAAGGCATATCTCTGCCGCACAGTGCAGGCGCTGGGACTTTACGTAAACAATGTAGATAACCTGTGCCGGAAGCCGGTATTTAACATTCATGCTTCACTTCTTATCAATCTTTCCGTCCCATGCGGAGTTTACTGTCTAAGCAACAATGGCAACCATGAAGAAATTCCACTCGATCGTCGGTGAAAAGCCTGCCCACAAGGCTGAGGGCACCTCAATCGATGACCCAAATGTTCTGCAGATCAGAGCCGACGACAAGGAGGCCGCTCATGCGCCCGTCAATGCAGTGACCAATAGTGAGGAGGCCAAGCCGAGTGAAGAAGCCCAGTCTGGTGTCAAGAAGATAGAGGCTGTGACCCTGAGTTGGACAAGGGGTGCGGCGTTTGCAGTTTTAGTGCTGTATGCTTCACTACCATTGCTGCATGTACCAACAGTCCCAAAAGATCAAACTGCTAACCTGGCTTTCATCTGATAGCATTTGGTTCCTCACGCTGGTCAACGATTTCCGACTCTCCATCGCTACAAGCTTGAGTGCTTATGCCACGAGTTCTTTCCAAGGCCACTCGCTGTTGACCGTCATCAACATTGTGTCATATGTTATGGGAGGATCAGTGTACATACCGATGGCCAAGGCGCTAGATCTTTGGGGCCGTGCAGAAGGTTTCCTTCTGATGACTTTCTTCTGTATTCTGGGTTTGATTCTTCTGGCTTCATCCCAGAATCTCCCCACCTATTGTGCCGGACAGGTAAGATATGACAACCACTGATCTCGTCATTAGAACTGCCTAACCGCTAGACTGGCTTTAGGTATTCTACAAGGTCGGGTTTGGCGGGCTTTCGTACACCTGGAATGTCCTTGCAGCCGATGTGACGAATCTACGAAACCGAGGGCTAGCGTTTGCTTTCACCTCGTCCCCTGCTCTGATCTCCGCGTTCGCTGGTTCCAAGGCGGCGTCGGATCTCCTTGCCCACTCGACCTGGCGATGGGGCTTTGGCATGTGGGCCATTATCTTGCCGGCTGTTGCTCTGCCAATCTATGCCATTTTGGCTTACCACCTACGCCAGGCCGAGAAAAAGGGTGTTCTTGTCAAGGAGACGAGAGATTGGAGTATCAACCCGAAGACGATTTGGTGGGCCATTATGGAATTTGATCGTAAGTAACAACAAGGGCGGTCGCCTCGAAAGGTTCCCTACAGAAGGCTAATAATGATCTTACGACTCACCTAGTGCCCGGAGTTCTTCTGTTCGCTGGCGGGTTTGTCATATTCCTTCTCCCCTTTACTTTGGCGGCTACGGCGCCCCATGGGTATCAGACCGGCTATATCATTGCGATGATTACTCTCGGCCTGGTCCTAATCATCGCTTTCGGATTATACGAAATCTTTCTGGCGCCCGTGCCATTCCTGAACTATAAATTCCTCATTGACCGGACCGTGCTGGGTGCATGTCTGCTGGATATGACATACCAGGTTTCCTACTACTGCTATGCCAGCTATCTCCCGTCTTTCTTGCAAGTTGTGTACGAGTTGGATGTCGCCACGGCTGGATACGTGACCAACACTTTCAGTGTGGTCTCCTTTGTCTTCTTGTTCCTCGCTGGGTGGCTGATCCGCTGGACCGGTCGTTTCAAGTGGATCCTTTGGTTCTGCGTTCCGCTCTATATCCTCGGCCTTGGTCTGATGATTCACTTCCGTCAACCGGGCGGATATATTGGGTACATTGTTATGTGCGAGGTTTTCTTCTCGGTCTCCGGAAGTGTCTTCATTCTCTGCGTGCAACTGGCGGTTCTTGCTTCCGTCGATCACCAACACGTTGCCGCCGTGCTCGCTTTGCTGTTCGTCATGGGCAGCATTGGTGGCTCTATTGGCAGCGCAATCTGTGGAGCTATCTGGACCAGTACTTTTCTGTCGAGACTTGAGAGAAACTTGCCCGCATCCGCCGTGCCTGACTTGAGCATGATCTATTCATCACTCCCCACCCAGCTCAGCTACCCCGTCGGAAGTGCAACCCGGACCGCCATTGTGGAGGCTTACGGTTATGCTCAAGCAAGGATGCTCATTGCCGGTACTGCATTCATGGTTCTGGGCTTCATTTGGGTTGGCATGATGAGAAACCTGAACGTGAAAGATATGACTCAGACCAAGGGTAATGTTCTGTAGGTAAGACTGTTTGGATTCTGCGCCTCAGAAAATCGCTGGTTCAATCGCCTCACTCGCCTGTCATTATGATCAAGTCGCCGTATACTTCAACCGCGTTCTGTTCATCGTTACCATCAAACTTGTCCTATGGAGCAATGAATATGAATTTGTTAGCAACTCAGTGCTACTTGTAATTATATGGTACATGCTAGACATGGAATGGACATGGATGAAGTCTGATTTTTCTTGATCTACCTGTGTAACCTCATATTTATACACAGGAAACCTGATATGATTAAGGGTAGTACAAACAGAAACCTGTAAATATCTCGATAATAACTGTACTCTAGTAATAGCTAGGGGTCGGAGTAAGGCTTAAAAAGAACTAGAGTTTGGAGGTGGTCGTGGGTTGGGCTTGGGTTGATTCGCGCTATATCTGATCCAAACCTTGTGGATTACGGTTGATCCACCCTCACATCCCGGGTCAACAGTCGCAGTAAACGTGGCAGACCCCCGTCGAATGCCTTGAAAAGGAGGACATTCCGATCAAATCAGAAGCGGTAAATGCAACCTCCGAACTTGACCTAAGAGTGGACATGCTGCCAACCCACCTATCACCACCCCTCAGCGACAATCTACAGCACACAGCAGGGCCCCCCGTAGACTTAAAAGGGAACCAGACTCCCACATTGTCACCGGTCACATCAAACGTAGCAGAGCCAGGTCAAGCGCCTCGACCCAAAGCAGCAAGACTGAATTATGGGGCAATGGCTTCCACGATGATCCGCCAGGCAGCGTCTGCGAACAGGGAACATCAGGCGCGGATTCGAAGTATTCGTGAGGACATCAAATCTCTTCAATCCAGAATTGATGCCCTCAATGCGTCAGCACCGCTGCCTAGAGCTCTAGAGGATGTCCGGAACTCATGACTGAGCACAAAGACGACGTGCGGAGGACAGAGAAAATCGAGAGAACAATGAACATCATACTGCAGAAGCTCCCTTCTTAACTGCTAAGAAGTATTCCTCAGCCCATGAGAATATTGATAGCAGGCGGGAGTACTCCAGCTTTTTCACACACTCTTAAAAAGGCTGGTTGAGGACGATCAGCCTTAGTTCAAATACATGCACACAACACATCAACGGGCCGAAGGAAGCATGAAGTTGATACATACTGAAGAATGGCCAAATGTGTTGTATTCCGTGTTTGTATTCCTGGTATTTGGCGGTCCAGCAGATAGCAATAATCTGGGAGAGAGAACACCTGCTTGAATTAGGAGACTGATGCAAATGAGCAACAAAAAACTGAAAGTTAGGGAAAAGAAGAAGGAGTTGCCCAGTTCGGTCATCCTGTTTACTATCAGTGTTCGTTCAGACACAGCCAGCACAGATCCATTCAGTTAGTATAGGACAACGACGTGATAGACACTTTAGCCACATAGGAAGCATTCTCGTCATCAGTATCCACGACACATTTAACCTCATCACCAGACATGGTTTGTCGGGCACTATTTTCCGAGTGCTCATGGCTTTGGGAGAAACAGGTAAAGGGATAGAACCTTCTGTCAGCCAGCTTGGCTGCCGAATCTAGTAAAGGATTTACGGAACTCTCTGGAATTCTGATTCGACCAATCAGATCACGAGAAATAGATCATATTGCGATTCAACTCGCCCATTCAATTTCAATTCGCTGGAATCTATCTTTCCTGTCTATAAATTCTAGTATTAGATCGTAGATTAGAAGAATCAGACCTTCTTCCCTTGATATTCCGTGTATATGCGTTCACCATACAAACGTTATTATCTCGGATTGGCTAACACCTTCCGATTGTTTGTCAGTGATTGGTGTTTTGGTACAGCGCGGGAAGTGGAGAACATGGTACGAATGTCGGAGACCTGTCTACAAAGTGCTTTAGCTTATCTAACTTATCTAACTAAATAAGGTCAAATTCACCAACAAATCCTCGATGGTCTAACGGTCATGATTTCCGCTTGTCACTCTCCAATGAGAACAAGCGCGGGAGACCAGGGTTCGACTCCCTGTCGGGGAGATTTCTTTTTCCTTTCAACATTGAATTTTGCTCCATCCTCTTTTTGTTTTTCTTTTGAAGCGTCATTTCTATGTTTTGATTCCAGTTAACTTTAGTTTGCGCTTCCAATAAGGTAACTGCAAGAAAAAGGCACCGTGTAAGGATATATCTCGCTTCCTCCGCTATATAAATTCACAGATAAACCGCATTCCAGATCTCCGACAACCTTCCATCCCATGTTGTGAAATCGTCTACTCGGACCAGCGAATACCCTGAATCCTCCAGCTGACGCCCATTCCTGGCCCCCCATCGCCTCCCAGCAGCGGAAAAGTCGTCAAACCAGCTATCCTGCAGCCCAATCTCGAGTTTCTCCCACTGTCGGGAAGACGCCAGCTCCGACCAGGGACGAATCCAGGCTTCATCCAGCTCTTCCGGAACGGTTCCAGCTCGCGGAGTGCAGCTTTTGTTCAAGATGTGGATAACCAAGCGCAAGCGCCTGACGCCAACGTACGCTAATCGTAATGTCCGGAAGAGTGTTTGATATGTTTCCCACTCGTTGTCGGCCATTGTTGACGGTGTTGTCGTCTTTGCGACGTGCAGGATATCCAGAGAAGCGATGCGCGATAAATGTGATGGCGCAATCATTTTCGGCAATCGACATAACTTGACTGACGAGGAGATGAGGAATGTATTTGTGCTGTAGAGAAGTGGAAGTGCTTCTAGGTATCTGGGCCACAGTCAGCTCGATCTCACGGTTCTCACCCGATCGTAGAACATTGCAGCGCTCACGCTCTTCGGCACACTCGCAGCCACGCCACGCCTTTCAGCTTGTGCCGCGATAGCTGTCGTCGTCCAATACGCTTCGGATCCTCGAGATCGTTCATCCGGCACATGTCACCCGGGTTTGGATGCTCCTCTTCATCGCAAACCCGATGCCACCAGCGCCATTGGTCTGGCGGTCGCTTATCTCTTTGACGGTAGCCCGGCGCATAGCCAAAATCGTATTCGAGGTGGACCGACCGGTTACCAAACAGCTCAATGTATATTCGTTGGCGAATTTCTTTGGGTAGGCGCGAGAAGAATAGACTCTGGTCCTGGGGAAGCGTGTTGTTCTCGTTCAAGTCCAGAAAATTGGTAGTCGACGTATTGATGTCTGTGAGGGTGTTGCTCCTGCTCCGGATGGTCGCGAGCTCTTGGTCGGGAGGAGTCAATGGTCTTCGAGGCGGAGGAAGAGGCATTGACCTGAAATCGCGACAATTGCCATTTTGCTTGCAGGTTTCATGATAGATCCCTACTTGAGCTAGGACCGTTCGCGGGTCTGATTGTGAAGGGTCCTCTTCCGGCTGGTCTTTCCGTCGATCTTTGCCCTTCGCTTTCTCTCTCTCCTTATCCTTATTGCGAAAGCGCTGGAAGAATTGAAAGGTCATGGTGGAGCTGGAGGCGGAGGAACAGGTGGTCTGATGCGATTATTGAATGTGGATTGCTTTGGAAACGGAGAGCACGGGGACGTTTCACACAATAAATGAAGGGCGCAACCGGCGACTATTCGAGTAACATGGCTGGAACTGTCTTATTTGGCGAGGATTAGGCACCTATCCAGATAACAAGGATAGATACCTTAATATTGCATGATTATATGATGGATAGATAACAGTGCGCAATGAAATCATCGTGTGATGTCTGGAACTCTGGATCAACAGGGGCAGTGTCGGACTGTGGAGCTGCCAATTTGCACCAGGCAATTAGCCCGCCAGTTTCAACAAATGAAACCAATAACAACGGTCTGGATGGAGTCTCGAAGTGTCTCCTACACCAATTAGAACACGAATTGCACATGACCGTGTCTTGGGCTATTATCGAGTGATGGTCATTCCGTCGTCCCGGTCATTAGCCATGAATCTATTTCTGAGTCTTGACTCGCATCCTGCCATTGCTAGGCTCTCCTTTGGGCTTTTACACCAGAGTCCAGCTGCCCAACGTCATCAAAGTCTTCCAGCATGATGGATTGACAAATGATGTCATTTCTCGTATTCTAGGTCTCCAATGGACTGGAAAGCTATCCCTTCTCCTTTTATCCTCTCCTGACAGCCGGTTCAGCAACAATATGCACTTCTCTAGGTGGGTGGCGTCGTCAATTTTCTGCGTCTGCTTGATTATCTGCTTCCGACAAGTCTGAATGACATCTTTGACCATCAATGCCATGACACCCGGATCGGTGATTCGGACCGACTATAACAAGCGTATTGGTGGTGCACCTAGATACGCAAAGAATAAGTCTGCATTGGGAGACTCTTCAGAGCTGGCAAGATATTCCATAGCTTGAGCCTAGGCACGATTGTGAGGGATGATCAATGGCGATCTTAGGAGATCGGGAGCTTTCCATAGCCGATTCGTTTTTGTAGCAGGAGACAGACGCAGCACGAATCCACTCGACGCACGCATGCTGAGCAGCAATCCATGCGACATAGCATTCGTCTCCTGCAGACCAATGAAAAGGTAACGACAATATCTCTACCCTCGAGGCCATTTCTCTGTGTACCTGAACTCTAGAATACGTTGATGCGACTGGCGAGCATGACAAATTCTTCAGCTCGCGTTAGCATCATGGGAGCCTGACAAGACTTGGCTCTCTGGTGTCTGTAGGCGTAGACCCCTCGAAACAGGTCCTTTGCGTAACTCATGTTCCTCTAATCTAATGACAGAGTGACCCCTTTGCTGCTTCGAAGCTGAGGTTTCGGGCTGTTTCTCTCTCAACATCCCCTTCACGGCTATTAATATGATAGTCGCTAGGGATATATTGACTCACGCCGAAGAAATTATCTGGTTCAGCAGTAACTCCAACTCTATTGCTCACCATGACTCGCATAAGAAGATCCATATTCTCCATCGCTTCTTCAGGCGAGCTGAATCTAATGAAGCCACTCTTTTGTCTCCCTGATTGTTGTAGGATGCGCACCTCCCTTCTTCCAAGCAACGAAATGACCATTATCTTTGGAAGAAATTATTGTTAGCTCCAACGCGGGAAACAGAAAAGATAAGACCTTCGAGTGGACGGAATCGTTGGGCAACAACTTACAGGGACAACGCTGTGGTCCTCATACTCAGGGTCTCCGAGCCGTGTGATCATCACTACTAAGATCGATATAAGCTCCGCTCTCCGAAGTCTCTCATCAGGTTCGTATCCCAAAATCAGAGTAAACGTGATGTGAGTAGAGCAGCCCGTGCGAGTCGTAAATGCGTCGCAGGATACCATTCCCGTATTTCAAAGACAAGGCCATCAAATTCGTCATCGATAATGGAAGGAGGTAAATTGCTATCGGGTTTACACACCGCGTAACAGCATGCCAATGGTATGATAGCTTAGGTCTTTCACCACTTACGTCGACAGCCAGCCACTCAATCGCTTCAAACTAAGGGACCGGTCTCCCGGGCTTGACGTGGAAAAGTCGAAACCACCACATGATCTTTGAGCATAGTGATTGTGCACTACCTAGAGGGGTTCTCTCATAGAGTGGGGGCCCTGACAATATCTTCTTTCGTAATTCGTATTTCTCCCTAGTCTGGGGATTGCGGAGGTCCAGGGAGGGAGGCTCTCGAGAGGCAGTGGCTCGAAGAAGGCAGGAAGAAATGAGTCTCGATAGGCATCGTGGTTAGTCAGATCCAGATCTTTTCAGTCTATCTTCAATGTCTCTGAAAACTCAGTGTCGACGTGAGTGCTACTGCTGCAGTGCTCCTCGATGAGATCGTAGACTTCGTCCAATACTTCGACAGCCTTTGCATGGGCTGCCTTCTCTCTGCATTACCTCTTCGATAGAAAGAGAGAAATGCGAAGAGACATCTCTAGTGACAAGGGTCGTGGCTGGTAGATAGACAGGGTTTAGTGTAGAGACAAGTGCGAGTGGTTGTCAGTTGCCTAAGCGATATGGAATCGCCACATTGCAGTTACTCTTTTAGTCATACTGGTAGCATGGTTTCTCTTTCTGGGCCCGCCTGGCGAGATTATACAAGGCTAGTGAATACCTTATGTCCAGTACGCATAGTCTATGGAGATGGATATTCTAAGTCACTCCTTGTATATTACCATATTCACTCCTGAAGACTGTCACTTATCTAGACATCACTCTTGACCGTTCGGTTTCGGATTTTCATTAAAGAATATTTGCAGGTCCCTTCAAGGTCTTCTCCCTGATACTTTTTCTCGTTTTGAATCATTCTTCATTTGAATCAGGATAATCTTGCCAGAATGTCGAAGTCATGTCTTCCAAGTTTAGGTCCAGGACACGGCCCTGGGATATTCCAGAGACCATTCAGGATGCGGGAAGGCTTGGTTGCTTGAGCAAAGCTCGATAAGACGGCTTTAAACACTTTGCTAGAGGTGATGTTCAAGTCGGCCTCTCAAGTGGCCCAAAGCAGTTCACGATGCTGCGCATTTACTCCCCCAAGCTCAAGAGTATTGAAAGGTTCCGGGAGGCTCGGGAAGATTTTGTGCTCCCCAGACGGGCTTTTGATAAAGCGAGAAATACCCTTCGGAAATCCCCAGAATGGGGAGATCTTCTTGAAGTCGTCGAAACAGACATGCCGTTTAACAGTATCAGGGAGAAGGACGACCAAATCTGGCCTGGTTTCTTCGTCGCAGCCAGGCGGCTACAGGAATAGACGATGGCCCTAGGAGGGAGTCATGATAGGGATCAGGCAGAAATTGGTTCCCTAATCCTCCAAACGGCTGCGTTCTCGGTCAGACACAACGTCGAGACAGAGGGAAGGGGGAACAACATCGTGACTGATAGGTTTTGGGGCCCAGTGAGACGCTGGCCACGCTTGCTATGGTCGAGGTTAAGAGAAGGATGCGACACTAGAGGACGCCGGCGATCATGCGCAAGAAGGCTGCGAACTGGTAGAATAAAAAAGAAGCATCCCACCGCCTCTTCTCATTCACCAGCCAGTAAGTTCTGAAGAGAATCTTGCCCAACTGTGAGAGCCGATTCCGAACCGATTTTGATTTGCTATTGTCATACATAGGCTATCCTGTCTGCCCACGCAGACATTAACAGGTCGGGTTCACCCTTGGATATGAGAATGGACCGAGAATGAGATTACGTGGACCCAGCCGATACGGATGTTGTGCTTGTGAGACTTCATAGTCATGTTTATTTCAAGAATGAAACTTTTGAAACAGAGTTGATGGCGTCGGTTCAAGGCGACTGAGTGGGTTCAAGCCATCTTCAGGCATGAAAATTGGTCATCCTATCTATAGAATAATGCTTTCTCTAGCTATTCAGAAGGCATATGTGATCCTGCCTCCGACTATTAAGTTCCAGTGATGATCTGAATATCCCAACCTTGAATGTTTTCGATTCCATCTATTTTCCCTCGTTAGGTCACCTACTACCATCAGCCCTATTCGTCCGCCACCCTGATTGAAGCTATCATGTCACCCAGAAAGCTCATATCTTCGGTACTCAGTTGCAGGAGCCTCGTACAACGCGGTCGCGCCCTGCTGGGACGGGATAGATTGATGCATGACCGACATACCAGTCATGTAATCATCCCCTGAGCTCAACTGAGACGAGGGCGCTAGTCCAAGGCGCTCGCCTCTCAGTCTCTTCCCGCGACGATGGAAGAAGTATACGAGTCCTGCGATGGCTGCCAAACCGAGGAAACCGCCAACTGCAGCGCCTGCGATGACTCCGGTCTGATTCTGAGCTGGTTTCGGCTCGGCTGCAGTAGAGGTGGTCGTTTCAGCCGCTACTTTAGTTGCCGCTGGTGATGGACCCCCCGTCGTTGTCGAGGATATTATTGAAGCAGAGGATGTCATCTCCGTCGTCGCTGTCACACCGATCGTAGTCAGAGCGGTAGGTGTACCTGCAAACGAACAACAAGGTCAGCAATCGGGGTCCCCTGCGAGAATTCGAACATATGGGTGCGACATACCTTTGAAAATCAACACCTGTTGTTGAGCACTGCAGTTGACATTCCCCATATTGTAGTCGATGCAGTAGTACATATCCAAATCCGTGTTTGGACACTTTTCAATCCCTTGTCCACCAGCAAGATTGTTGCGGTTCGGAGGGTCCGGGTTGATGCAGAACAATGGACAGGCAGAGCTGCGCCATGTCTGATCCGTGCAGGATCCTCGAACGTACAGAGAGGCGTCTGGGTTCTTGATCTCGTCACCGGTTGCCATGCAGATCGAATTTGAAAGACACGCGTAGCCCTGACCGCAACAGGTCGCTTGCTTTGTGGAGTCTTGGCATGGTGTGTCCTGTGGTGCGACACTGCCGTCTGGATAGTAGCAAGCTGCGAGAGAGGGATTCGGGAAAAGAAGCCATAAAACGGCTAGGAAGAGGGCGATGTTAAGCCGGAAGGACTCCATGAGGCGTTTGGTATATCATCCATTAACACATCATCAGTTCTATTGAAGAGACATCAATTATGCAAAGGCGTGAAATGAATAATTCTGATCATAGGAGAGAGCCTACTCCGACCCCTGATCTACAGAGGTCCAATTCTTCTAACTGAGTAAGTATCTAGCTCCTATTCATGCCTTTGGGGGCCGGATTTTGGCTTATCGAATGATTAAATACTGCTGAAGATTCGCCAAGAATGCCGGTGCTAAGTGAAATTATATACCTTCCAAATCGGGCAAGCGGTTATATAATTCAGTAATGAGGCTGTTAAGATACAGGGCTCTTATAGTTGGACTTGCTGGAGCGTTGTGTTGTACGGCTTTTATTCACTGGGCTGGCGAGTTCCAAGACCCTTAGTATGCTTGTGCGCCTGCGCTCTTTAACCGCCCACCGGCGACAGCAACAGCAACAGCACTTCGACAGTCAAAAAGTCCCACCTCAACTCTTCGTTTCCATTCCAAGTCTTTGGCAATATAGACTACAACGATTCGATTAATCTATGTCCCGAATGTGATTCATCTACGCAACAAGGTTCATTTACGTACCGCTTCGGGTTCTATTCCTTCTGCTTGGTCTCATCGGAGTCAGTCATTCTTTGAACATGAACATCAAGCGACGCCACTCTTTCATGGTATCAGTCACTGCTCTCAGCCTCATCTGTCTGTACTTTTACTTGTCAAGGGTTTCTTGGCCGGTTTCGACAGAAGTCAAAGGCCAAGCGACTTCTCATAATGACCTTGCTCCATCTCCAGACGACAATAATGTCTCCGAAGAAAGCAGACCAAATGCACCTGTCGTAGAGCCTACTATTTTGTGGACGCGTCGTCCGACTCGATATCCGGTCCTGTCAATGACACCGCTACCCACAGAAAGGCCACGGAAATTGCCAAAAGTGCAGGCGGACTTTCCCGCAGAGACAGATCCTCAAAAGGCGCAAGTTCGTCAGCAAAGGCAAAAGGCAGTTAAAGACGCTTTTGGCCGATGCTGGTCTGCCTACAAGTCTCGCGCCTGGATGGCTGATGAGGTTACGCCGCTTTCTGGGACAACGCGTAACTGGTTTGGTGGATGGGGAGCCACCCTTGTCGACAGCCTTGATACCCTATGGATCATGGGACTCCGCGAGGAATTCGAGGAAGCCGTGTCGGCAGTCGTTCAGATCAACTTCGAGACAACCTCTCTCAGCCAGATTAATACCTTTGAGACCAATATCCGATACCTGGGCGGTCTGTTGGCCGCCTACGACTTGAGTCATGACAAACGCCTGCTAAGCAAAACCGTCGAGGTCGGCGAAATACTGTACGCCGCGTTCGACACCCCTAATCGCATGCCCATTACACGGTGGGGCTTTCAAAGCGCCGCTCGCGGGGAGGAACAGGTGGCGGCCGAGGGCGTGCTGGTAGCAGAGATCGGATCTTTCACGCTGGAATTTACCCGGCTCTCTCAAATCACCGGCAACCCGAAATGGTTCGATGCGATCCACCGCGTGATGGGAATTTTCTACCGCCAGCAGGACCTGACGAAACTGCCAGGAATGTGGCCTGTGGTCGTTAACGCGCGCGAAGAAGATTTCACCCAGGATACGACCTATACGCTGGGCGCTATGGCAGATTCAGTCTACGAGTACCTGCCGAAAATGCATGCGCTCGTCGGCGGTGTCCTCCCGATGTATGAAAGCATGTATCGCAACGCGATGGATACTGCCATTCGACACAACCTCTTCCGCCCGATGACCCCTGACGAGGCAGATATCCTGGTTGCCGGCGCTGCGCGTATTGTGAGCGAAGCTGGTCAGCCCAGCCGTGTCACTCTGGAGCCCAAGGGCGAGCATTTGATCTGTTTTGCTGGTGGGATGATGGCATTGGGGGGACGGTTGATACAGAATGGCACTCATGTTGATATGGGCCGGAGGCTGACCGATGGCTGCATCTGGACGTACAAAGCGTTGCCATCAGGGATCATGCCAGAGGTTTTTCATATGTCGCCTTGCGCATCTCAAGCTTCATGTTCTTGGGATGAAGCGCAATGGCAGAGGGAGGTAATGAGTAGGGTGAAGGAGCAACAAACCCAAACTGCCGCCGACGTCATCCAGGAACAGCGCCTTCCAAAGGGGTTTACTGCAATCCCCGACCGGCGGTATCTCCTGCGACCGGAGGCTATCGAGTCAGTGTTTATATTGTACAGGATCACCGGGCGAGAAGACCTGCTTGATGCTGGCTGGACGATGTTCGAGGCGATTCAGAAAGCTACGGAGACAGACTTTGCCAACGCAGCTTTATCAGACATCACCGTTCCCCAGCCCCCTCAGAGCGATTCGATGGAGAGCTTCTGGATGGGCGAGACGCTCAAGTACTTCTTTCTTCTCTTCAGCAGCCCCGACCTGATCAGTCTTGACGAATATGTATTCAACACCGAGGCGCATCCCTTGAAGAGGGCTAAGTGACCTATATTCCCGTATCCTCCCTTGTCCACGTTGAGCGTGATACCTGTATATATATCTACTCATCATGATGAACTAAAGTGCCTGTATCCTGGTTATACACAAACATTACGAGATCAGCTAAAAGTCGGCTCTATTTACTCTCAAAAGTCACTTTTTGCTTAATTCATTTCCAACACCGGCAACCTATATACCATGTCCTCAAGTCGTCCCATACACCTACCGCCCAGAAAGGGCTGTTATAGTCACGTGATATATACGAAAGAAGGCACTCTCCACTCGAATTTAATTTCAGATCTCATCGGTTAACCAAGCCCTAGATCGCCGTGCAACGAAGTATCCTCATTATCATCATCCACTGCGTGAGGGTTTACCCACATCACAGTCTGAAAGGCTGAAACATCTCAGGGGCATCTCCTCATCCGGGAAGGCGGCCAAGCAAATAAAACATGGGTGGCTCGTATATTAAGTGCTTACGATCATCACCGCCACTATTGGCGATCTGCGAAACTCAACTTTAAATAACTCAAATGGATTGCATATGTCAAATCACCTCATTAGACAAATAATATTTATAATTATCCTGTCTTGTCCCTTGCTTGGTGGCATTGTTGATTCCTGCGCCCTAGCTGGATGTAAGGCACAGGCTGTACCATACTCCGTAAGGTTTGCACGTTGTATAAGGTAGGTAGCCTCGGTAGGTAGAATCCTACGCGTTCGAGGAGTATGTGTCATTAATTAATAAATACTGTCTGATTCATCAATTCACATATTCCCATTTATAGAATTATAAACATCGTATTTGGAATTCATTATGTGGGTAAATGCTGGGGTTTTGAAGTAGAGCAATGTCTAGAACAATGCGAAGCCCAACGCCAATCCAGCCATCAAATGCATCACAGACCTCGATACATTTACATCATTTCAGAAAAAGAACGAATACACGAAGATCAAAATTGTAGCAGCCGTTGCCACTGTATACTCCAGCTCGAACCAGGCCGCCTGACCACCGAACGCAATCTTCTTGCTCCGGGCGGTCGGATGCGCAACTCCCGTCTTGGGGTCTCGGACCAACAGATCCTCACGGTCGGGCATGGCAGGAGGATCGACGGCGTAAGCGACAGGAGTCCAGAGCGAAGTGCAGATGAAAAGGAATGTCAGCGGGGGCCAGAAGGCGTGTGTGATCAAGCAGAGAATGACATCTCGGAAGGTCTTCTCCTGCGCGAAGCAGCGATACGACGAGATGACGACCGCAACGAGCGTGACATACACAAATGCAAGGTGGAAGAAGGCCATGTAGTTGAGTAAGATCACGCGCAGACGGACGAACATGTTCTTCCTCCGTTTCGGATCACGCTCTTCGAGTGCGGAGCTGAGTGAGCCGGTCGGCTTGAAGGCCTGAGCCTGGCCACCAAGCCATTTGGGGAGGATAAATGAGCGGACAATACAAAGGGCAATGTAGGGTGACATCCACAGCTGGTAGCGCGAGCCTCTCTGTCCGGTGTGGTAGCCGGCGGGGATGAAGAGGGCAAACTCGCAGATTCGGTTGGAAATGGTCGAAGCGAAGCAGGCCCAGATAAGCCAACGAAGTTGCTCCTGAGTCGCATAGGCAACAAGCTGCTTGCCCCACAGAAGAATAACGGGGATGGCGAATATCGAGGCAGTGAGAAGGAGGGTGTACAAGCTGAGTGTTGCGTAGAGGAATCCCGAAAAGCGCTGAGCCGCAGTCATCTGTCGAACGGCGTCACCCCACAGACAGAATTTGAGCTTCACAGCAGTGTCGACGGTTCCGATTGCCCATCGGGTACGCTGCTTAAGATGTCCGCCAAAGTCTTCCGGCACAGTGCCAAACTGGAGAGGTTCATGGATGTACGCGGTCTTCCATCCCTTCCCAAGCATCATTGTGGAGGTTGCGACGTCTTCGGCCAACGAACCAAGAGGGAAGTTGCCGATCTCGTCCAGGGCCTCGCGTCGAACGACATAACCGGACCCAGTGCACCAAGCGACACCCATCGCATCCTTGATTGGCTCAATCACATGCACGAAGAAATCCAGACTCTGTGCGAGAGGGTCCGACGGAGGGGTGTTGTAGAACAGCTGCGGCGGGCATGCAAGGGCCATCTTGGGATCGACAAGGAGATGAGGAAGGACGGCACGCAGCCAGTCTTGCTCGGGAATCTGCGAAAACTAGTTAGGAGACGGCTTGAGTCAAGATGAAACGCGAGTGGAAACTACCATATCAGCATCCAGCGCCGCCATGAATTGGCCGGCGCCTCCAGGCAAATAGTGCACCTGCTCAAGGCCATAATTGAGGTTACCCGCTTTGAAGTGGTGTGGTTTGCCCGGAATCTTCTCTCGCGCCATGTAGATGAGATTGGGGTGAGTAATGGCGAGCTGGCGGACGGAAGCCTCCAGGGTAGCCGACTTGCCGTCATCGAGCACAATGACCCTGAACCTGTCGCGGGGGTAGTCCTGATCGCACGCTCCACGTACAGTATCCAGCACAACCTCGTCATCTTCTCCGCAGCAGGTGACGAAAACATCGACGGTAGGAACATCATTCCCGGTCAGTCGCAGCTTGGGTCGGCCTCTTTTCTTTAGTGCCATCATGGTCCAGCAGTTGTGCATCAACGAGGGGATCGCAACAGCGATCTCGATAGCTACGAAAACCCAAGCTCCGGCGTAAGTGTATCCAGCTGCGTTTTGGGCTAGAATAATACAGGCGATCCGAAGTCCGAGGTAGAAGAGGTAGAGACCGGTGTTGGCCAGCGTAAGGAAGGGAACAAGGCTGAAGACCCAGCGCTTCCATCCTCTCCAGATATCGGCATCATCACGCTTGTGAAGGCGAGCAATCGATCCGGACTGGACCCAATCTTTGGCAAACAACGGTGACGGGGAGGCATTAACGAGGGGAGCAAGACTCTGGTGACTTTGAAGCAGCTGGTTGTGTTGATACTGGTGACCAAGATATTTGTTAGTTATGTGTGCACCATGAAGGAATTAGTGGGACTGTAATTACCGGAGATGGTGATGCTGAACGAGAGTCAAACGATTCTGGACAGAGAGACGAACGAGCGGTCGCGAAATGATATCCGTGAGACGCATAGTCCTCCAGAGGAATCTCACCGGCCCGAATAGGCGTTTGAGCTCCCGGTGGAAGCTGATCTAGCGAGTCGAAACTGCTGTGATTGTTGTGGCCTCGACGATGGACTGAAAGTCCGACCTTTTCCTCCTGGTCCTCCTGGCCATAGTGCCCGTTCATTTTGGCCTTGAGTGCGGCAAAATATGTGACAGTCAATACTTAGCAAGCCGATCGGAATGTGTCGAAGTCTTCGAAGTATGAAGGAGAAAGACGAAGATATTCTGATTGGAAATTTAAAGAACTACTCCCGATTAATTTAAAACGAGTGTGATAAGCTCAAAGAGCTTTGGAATACAAGGGAAGTAGAACTAGAGGTGGATGGACAGATTCAACGAGAGACTGAGGCAGGAAGATGGGCGAGGGCGAGAGGTGCCTGTTCCTTGTCCGGCGTCTTCCGCAGGTACTTATTTCTTGTCACTATGTCAGAACTACGCCGGAGTACCTCTGCCTTGTGTTGTGAATTTTTTTTTATTATTATTTACCAGTAGTCCTAGTCCAATACCAACAAAGGCCAAGGTAACTAGAGCATGCGACCTACCGCAAAGATCTCCCCTCAGTAATTTAGTGCTCATTTACCAGTTGCCTTGGCTTACTTTAATTACCTATTATGAATGGCTGAGGCCCTGAAACTAGTGTGATCTGGATGCAGCGATAAGAGTACGGGTGGGGCCACACCGTTTGCGCACTAGCCTCTGATAAGCCCATATAAATAGTATCCCACTGAGAAGGGTTTTCCGCTTGCGTCATCCTGGTTGTACTGCCAGTTACAGATTCAATACAGGTAAGACACATCATTCGACACTTTTCCATGGTCGACTCCCTCAACAGTACCAAGAAGGTATCATCTAGAAGATCACTAAAGAGGAAATTTCCCCTGCCAAACCTTGCTGGAAATGCTTTGCAGGTACACGCAGTCCAATACATTTGCAGTATTCTTGAAGGTTCCTTGGTTGCACTGCCCTCTTACCTAATATCTTAAATTTCAGGATCTTCTATCTCATTACAGCCACTAAACCAGTTTCACAACCAATCAGCTCCACTCTTTACAAGGGACCATCCGTTGAGCATATGATTAGTCTGTTTTAGTCCCTGATTTCCCACTCAAAAATCAAACAATGAAAACAATTCGATTCTTTTCCCTTGTAAGTTACACCTTCCTTACATCTACGGATACTCAAGGTAAATGTTTGCTGATAACCGCGCTCTCCCCACTGGACCAAAGCCATCCAAATGAGCCACTGACCATATCCGCTTCCAATACAGATCATCTCACCTTCCATGACCTTCCCCCTTCTACCTCTCTGAATTTACGGAGTACTTTACATCAAACCTATCATGGTGCTTCGATGGGTTGTTAATGCCGGCCTTTTGGCCATCCCCATCGGAGGCACTGTAGGTGCTCTGATGGGAATCGATGCGCACCGACATGCGACAGGACAAGCGCCTCTTTTCAGCGGCGGCGGCGGTTCAGGGTCAGGCTCGGGCTCGGGCTCGGGCTCTGCTCCTCCTGGTGGCAGTGGTAGCACTACTCATAATGGAGTGAGCAACACAATGTACTGCCCCAAGGAACCATACGGAATCACACCTTCCACAAAAGGACAAAGCTTCACATGTACGTCGCTGAGCGTTCCTATCGGGCTTCGAATGACTGACCATTACCGCAGTAAATCCCAATCCATGGGGTGTGAGCACTGATACAGTCGGAGCATTATGCATGAACGTAAGTGTTGAGACTCGAGAATTTCCGAGCTATGTAGCTTTGTTAACAAGGATTGAAAAGGTCACAACCTTCGAGAACGGAACATACGCGACCAAGAACACAGCACCCGAGTTCTCCGTTACATGGCAATTCGACCCCGGTCCGTCGACCCAACCGGTCCACGCCTTCTCGAACGTGATGGTTGACGAGGGGTTGCCCATCTCTCTGGAGAAGATTCAGCATATGAATGTCGATTTCCACTGGACGTACGGAGTAGGCAACACACCCGCTGAGGCGACCAACGAGGCGGAACTGACTGCCGCATCTGTCAATACGAACGTCGCTATCGATATGTTCATGAGTAACGAAGAGAAGGTAAAGGATAGTTCCAGTTATACACACGAAGTGATGGTTTGGTTTGGGAAGTTCGGGCCCGCCGCGTACGTCATTGGACAAGATGCTGGCGTAGTTGCGACCAAAGAGCTGAATGGAACTATTTTGTGAGTAAACTATCCGATGACCGCTGGGCCCCTTCTCTCTGACCACTTTGTTTGCAGCAACCTATATTCAGGCACGAACGGCAAGAACCAGCGGGTTCTGACGTGGCTTACGAGCGACTCTCCGAACGATCCTCAGGCGAAGGGGAAAACTACGGAAACGTTCACCGGTGATCTCTTACCTCTGATCACCGATCTATACTCCATGACTGGGGACGCTTACCCGTCAAAATCCGACTACATGGGTATCTTCCAGTTCGGTACCGAGGCCTTCTCATCAAGTACGAATGTCACATTTTGGGCACCCAAATTCTCGGTAGATATGCGATGAGAGAATGAGGTATATATATATATTTTTTTTGTTCATTAGCTTTTGGGAGTTTTGAGGGAATCCGATCGAACATAGATAATGAAGCATTGGTATATTGCTATCACAGATGAGGACGGCACTTGTAAGGACTAAGCCGGGCTGCGTATACTGTTTACAAACATATGGACTAAAATATTGGAAGCATTGTGTACGGTACGCAGAATCGCCACTACTGGGACTCCGAACTGTTGATGTTCGCGCCGCGATGTTTTCCGCAAGCATAGGTAAGCATGTCAGAGGTGGGCCTGTTTGGTTGGAGGTACCCGCAACTTGTACACTGTAAGGTAGACCGCTGAAGACCAGGCGCCAGAAACGGAAACGCACTGGCACCCACTACATAGTCCAGACACTCCATATACACGCGCCTGCGAATCGACGGTAACCATCTCATCCTCCGCAGTGTCCATCTTACACGTGCAAGCGGCATGCACCAAAGTCGTAACGTTATGCTGGCAACGACCCAAGATCGAAGTCCATGGTCCGTTGGTCCATATCGCTTCCATTTCTTGCTGCATCCACGAGAGAATGGCATGCAACGTTGGCGTAGAATACCGGCAGTTGCCCGCCTGCTGAGTCGTACGTAGCAGGGTCGTAGGCGGCTGACGCTCAGCGGCTCGTGGTTCAATATCGGTATGGATTGTGCTTTGCTTGTGGTATAGAAGTACTTCCTCGAATGCGTAATGGTAATTAGTACTATTGACGGCAGTTGCCCATTATTCGTGGACTCGCGCATTGGTTTGCACATCAGCTAGTTGTGTGACTGTTCAAGCCATTAAACGGGCAAACACCGTTGATGGATCATAAAATTCAGCGCCAACCTGCAGATATGCTCCGTCAGTTCCGTCACCACTAGCCAAGTGCCCGGCTGACTTAGAGCCCCAAGTCATTTACCCTGGCATATTGAATATATTGTCCATTGACCGTTGGCTGATTTTATGCTACAAAGCTTCGTTCGATTGCGGAGGACGTGTCGAATCGGATCCGACAACAGGGCGTCTGCTGCAGGAATGGAAGCGACTGATTCCGGCTCGTATGTCCCGCGTGCCTCAACCAGACGATCTTGAAAGAGGGCTGCGCCAGTTGGCGGGCCACAACGCTGCCGCCCGTATTACTTCGGACTACGACTAATCTCGGCCGAACAAATCTCGAGGGCTCGTCGGTGATGTTTTGCTGCTGCTGTGGATAATCTGTAGTGCGTAGGAAATCTAAGCCCGAGGCCAATGGCATGGAACGCCAAAGTAACAAGAGCTGTTCGAGATAGCGTCTAGATTTGTCTTAATTGTACCTCACGCATGCAAGGGGGGAAACGCACGGTGACCTTTGTGTTACCAAACCTGTCAGAGTGTACGCGACCAGGTAGGTAATCATAGGCAGACAAGGATGACGCCTGAGAGCCCAGACCGTACGAATTTGAAGGAAATGCAGGCCTCAGCTAAGATGTTCGATGTTTCCGTCCTCTCAATGCTTTTAGCCCACGTTTTTGGACCTTCAGAAGCATTCTGTGGAGTAAGCACGCCGTTATCCAAGAATGTCTCAGGAAGTGTTCGAAATAAAAGAATAGAAGCCTAGCCATCTAAGTTCCACTATCGATCCCTCATTGTCTCAAGTCTGTAATCGATTTTCTGTGTCATGGTTGGTCACCGTTGTGTGTTTGGGACTGCAGTACCCACACCTGGGCTGTTTCAAAGCGAGACAGGACCGAGGCCATCGAGATTCAATCGGTAAAATCCGAGTATCCTCTCATATCAAAAAAGCCATCACTGATTCACTCATCTTCGGTCGTATGGAAAAGGTCACAATAGTAGGCCAGGAGTCAGCACCGAATAAGGTAGCGACGAGAGGAAAAAGAAGAGCCATCAAAGCTTGTGATTGGATCCTTTGATATATCATCACGTGACATCTAACCTCCAGGGAATGGGCACTGATTCGAGCCGCAGTGAGCCCAATGTCCTTTTTCTCTCCTGCGCTTTTGCTCCAATCCACACATTGAGATGTGATAGAACAATTTTCTGCGACTGCGTCTGGGCTGGATTTGGCGTTGTTCATTGTGGTATGCACAGTATATCATCTCGGACCACTTCGGCTCTGTCTGAAGAGGATGAACATCATGAGCACGGCTGAGCTTCTGTTGTGTTAAATCATCGAGCCAAACAAACAGCATGGTAGCTTCGATAAACTGTGTCCCGACCATGCTTTGTTCATTGTTTGTGCATGGAATGCTCAAGGCGCGGTGTTAGTACGCATTGCAACTGTTATCAAGACGCTGATGAAAAGCGTCTAATTTGCGATGGGCTGCAAGAACACTTTGTTTGTCCTGCACAGCAGTGATAGACACATCTTAATCAGGCTCGGATACCAATTCGTTGACTTCTGCAATATGACGCGTTATTCGCCTCGACCTAGCCTAAGATAGAGAAATATCCGTCAGCTCCCCTTCGCTTATCAATCTATGGGTGGAATATCTCCTCCTTAGCACTCGACTAAGGTCATCACCACTGTCGATGCGGTAAGGCTTATTTTGATTTACTATAAACTGGGCGCTCTGCAGACTCTCTTTGGTTGAATCACATCTAAAATATGAGCATGCTCAGCCAGTCGATGCTTGTTTCTATTGCGATCCCGGCGGCCATCTTCAAACCGGTCAATCATTGCGAAGTGCGGTAGAACGTGCCTTTTAGGCGCCATGTTGCGTAAAACTAAGAATAATCAGTTCATATAGCAGCTGCTCAAGAGTGATGTATGGTACAGTTGCCATATATAAACCCTATTAAGTACAGTCCCTTCAAATATCCAGAGCACCAAATCCAAAGTCAAAATGAAAATCGCTGGATTCCTCTGGCTGAGTCTTCTCGGCGCCTCTATTGCAACTGGCAAAACCCATGGAGTAGTGAAAAGAAGCACTGTGAGCGAGATATTAGCCGGTATCAAGAACACTGTAACCTGCGCTGCTTGTGAGGTGAGTGCGACAACAAAAGCTTATCTACCCATCGCTGACCGTACAGTCGCTGTTGGTTGTCCTACAGATTTTGGCCCATCTAGGCAATGATGACTTTGTGGATGTATAACCAAAGTCTGTATTCAAGCTGGGGTAAGCAATCTTTTTTTAGACAATTAAGCCAATACTCATCTCGAGCAGGTAGAAGACTCAGACATTTGTGAGGGTGCCATCGCTCAGGAAGGCCCTATATTGGCGCATGACCTTCGCAATATGGATATACCCTCAACTGCTACCGCCCTCTTTTGCACGACAATCTTCGGCCTCTGTGATTATCCGGCTGTTTCAGAGTATGCGGTTGACTTTCCTTCAGCCAAACCGATGAATGCATCTCGCCCCTCGCCCAGTGGAGGAACACCTATTCAGGTCGTAGACATTAGTGATATCCATGTTGACCTATCTTATGAAACCAGCACTAGGTAACCCTCCTGTCCCCAGCAAGATACGTCAATTTCTCATATTACTAGTTATAACTGCACGAGAAACATCTGCTGCCAGCCATACACATTGTCAGATGCACCCGGCAATACCAGCTATCCTGCAGGCGAATTTGGCGATCACAGCTGCGACACTCCGCTTAGTCTGGAGGAGAGCATGTATGCGGCTATACAGGAGCTGGTCCCCAACGCGGCATTCACCATCTTCACAGGCGACGTTGTGGAAGGTGCCGTGTGGCTGGTCAACGAGACTGAAGTCACCAACGACCTTAACGATGTCTACAACACCCGGATACCATCATAGCTCAATCTCGTTTACGGAGTAATTGGTAACCATGACACGGCGCCTGTCAATTGCTTTCCTCCAGCTGACATCAACACAACCATTTCAAGCCAATGGGCGTACGATACTCTTGCGTCTGACTGGACGCAATGGATAGGGTCGACCGCTGCCACCACAGTCCAAGACTACGGGGCGTATTCCGTGAAGTACCCGGACGGAAATCTGCGCATAATCTCCTTCCACACAAACCTGTACTACAAGGAGAACTTCTGGCTGTACGAAAAGAGCATGGAGACCGATCCAAGCGGGCAGCTTGCCTGGCTCGTCAATGAGCTCGATGCTGCGGAGACCGCCGGCGAGCGAGTCTGGCTGCTCGGCCACATGCCGATGGGCTGGCATACCCTGAGTAAGCTTGTTCTCTGCGTGGTGATGCTGCGTGGCCGGCTCCGTGGATTGCCTGTCACGATCGACAAGGCTATCCTGTTGCCCGTGGAGCACCTCATCCAGGCGGAACAGGAAGACGCGCACATCCGCTTGGAACGGACGATGAGTCGAAGCCGAAGTCGGACCATGGCATAAGACCCGAAGCAGCTCTGTATAGCTGATCATTTCGCCATGTTTCTTCTGACCCTGGAAGAATGCGATGACCTCGTGGTATGGAAGTACAGAGTGTCGTCGTAGCAAATTTGCCATGAACTACCCTAGGAAGGCCATTATGTTCAGGAATTCAATCTTCTTCGGCAATTAACGAGGAAACAAGACTAATGTGCGGGGCTACTGCAGATTATCCGACGGTGAGTCATCGTACAATTGTTCAGCGGTCATTGGCGAGAATACGAAATATGCTCGATCTTCTTAATAAAGCTTCAGCTAATTTAAGTTAATTGCGTCCGGGACATTGATGCCTATATAGCAAAGCAAGCCCCACTGGACGGTGGAGGCTGCCTGCTCAACAGAAAGCAGTATTTTCACTCACAAATGTACACTAACCGTTGGACTGTAACTGCAGCCATCCTACTTCAATGGCCAGCCTATCCGCCTTCCTGCACTATCTGCGCCTCAAACTCCTGATCTCCTTCTACCGGCTCTTCGTCAAAATCCTCACCTCGCCTCCGAGGCCTCGTCCTGACTCCGTACTGAGAATTCCATCTCGCGATAAAGGCCGCACTATCAATGCCCATCTTTATAAGCCCTCCTGGGAGTATGAAGGGACCATGGATCTGCGGGATCCGAGGATCTCGCCAGCGTATGCTGATGCATCTAAATATCCCGCCAATATGCTGGTTATAACAGCGGAGTTGGACTCGTCGGCGCTCGAGGCGGAGGACTTGGCGAAGAAAGCCGAGACGGAAGGTACAGCGAGCGGCAGGAATGTGGTGCTTAGGAGGATAAGAGAGTGCGGTCATGCATTTGACAAGAAGAACACGGATGAAGCTTGTGTCCAGGCTCGAGACGAGGCTTATGGACTTGCTGTGGATATGTTGAGGAAGGTCGCAAGCGAGAGTGGTTGACGGTCCGACGGAGTCACGGTTGCATATTGCAATCTCCCAGGACTGAAGCATCCGATCCCTCTCTGTATGTAGTAATCCAGAATCAGGTTATAACTTCTCATGATTAGTATCGACTGTTTTGCTGGTCTAAGCGACGGATGTTCCATCCTCCAATTCGAGATGCTCATGAGTGACAAAACCACTCATCGCATGCAAAGAGGCCGATATATCATTGAACCATGGACTCTGGGCCGCCTTTGAAGCGAACTGTGTCCCGTGCTGCTCTGCCCTTTGTGGACCCTTGTGTTTGCGAAGCAATGAATTCAAACTCATCGAGTGTCTTCGGAGCTGGAAGGACGGTCTCCTGGCTGAAGGGGCGATCTGCTGGTTATAGGGATTAAGAAGGACACGCAAACAATCAATACCACCATGCAGACTGCTGGTAATAAGTGCCAAGTACGATGGCCGATTGTTCTGGCCATCACGAAGAGCAAGATGACTGTGGATAACAAAGTGTCAGACCCGAAGATATGCGGGCGATCTGGCGTAGGGATGTACTGTCAGGCAACATTTCGAGAGTCGACTCTGATATTGGTGGGTTTCTCGCTGGTTAGCTATTCCATCTTGCTTATTGTCGTCTTCTCAGGCCAGAAGCAGGTTATCTCCTTGAATGCTTTTCAGTGTATTCGGCAAATCTTCTGGGAAGTTGGGAGATAGTCCTGCTGACGGGATTTCTGGGTAGAAGATTGTGCTATAGCTATACCACTATTGTCTAGTCTCATTCTTATCTTAGGAGTGGTTTATCAAGACAGACTTTGAGGATGATAGATATGTAAGGACAGTTACAAGACTGTCCTGGATTTAGTAAGTAACTCTGCCTTAGTACTCATTCACTTTTCTCTCTCTTTGTACTCGTTGCGAATGCATCAGCCACGTTCTTCAGGCAATCAGTTAGAGTAGTGAATGAATAACTATCTCGCGTAATTTCGTCTCACTTTCTCTCTCTTCCTCTTGTGTAAAAATTATCATCAACACAAGGGACCTCAATCGAGAACCTTACACCTCCTTTCTTGACTTTTCCTCTAGCATTCCATTATGATAGCTAACCTGCCTTCATATATCAGAAAAGTAAGAATTCTATTCCGCAGCATCCTGACCAGCAGAGTGGGAGGCGAAGGCGAGCGCGCACCGGCCCAGTGGTCCCTCGAAGCCATGTCACTCCTCAACCTCCCCCTTGACGTGCTGTACGAGATAGCTTCTCACGTTGATTCTGATCGCGATCTGAATGCTCTGGCTCAAACCTGCTCCCCTCTCTACACAGTCTTCAACTTCGAACTTTACCGACGCGACGCTAAACGAGGACGGAATCGAGCATTGTTCTGGGCCGTCCAGGGTAATCAGAACGGCACACTATGGAAATCTCTCGACGCAGGCGCATCAGCACCATGGCCAACGCTGCTTAGCCTGGCCGCTGAGCACGACTCAGTGCTTGCGATGAAGGTACTTCTTTTGCAGGACGGTGCCGATATCAAGGCTGTGGAACAGACCGAAGAAATTCCGCTTTTGGTGACCGCTGTGATCAATCGCTCACCCAAAGTTGTGCGCTTCCTTTTGACCAGAGATGAGGTTGATCCGAATGTCAAGAACTATGATGGACAAACACCTCTTGCATATGTTGCCTACGAGTGCTTCAACGATATTGTTAAGATTCTGCTGAAGTGTCCCCAGGTGGATGTCAATTGCGCTGATAACAGGGGCTGCACGCCACTCCGTCTAGCAGCGGAAAGGAGCCATGTGTTCGTTGTCAGAACACTCCTCTCGAATGCCTCGGTCGATGTTAGTGTGAGGGATAATATTCATCACAGGACGGCTCTCTCAGCTGCAGTGGCGGCTCTTGCCAACCGAATTGCCTGGGGCCCCGAGAAGGTCAAATTGAAGCATCGGCGGACAATACAAGCACTCCTGGAGCACCCGGCGACCTCGGTGAACTATGATACGGACCAAGATCTCCTGCAGCTGTATCGGTTCAGCGCTCAGTACGGATACGAAGAGATTTTTAACTTGCTATGGTCAAAAGGGGCGGGACAGCTCCCGGCAGAACTTGATCGCTCCGGGATATTATTCTTCGTTGCTGAACACGGCCAAGCCGGGATCATGAAGATGTTGTTTGCAAATGGTTTCGAGCCGGAAGCACAGACTGATACGGGCCGCACGACGCTCTCGATTGCCGCGGAACACAAGCAGCTCGAGGTCATCCGTCTGCTTCTCTCGACGGGAAAGGTCGACGTGAATTCCAAGGATCAAGCTGGTAGAACGCCGCTGTGGTGGGCTATGACACATGGGTGGAGGAAGACTGGGACAGATGAGACTGTGAAGCTGCTAATCGCCCACGATGCTACGATTCCGACCATCCAAAGGAGGAAGTGGCTGCAAAAGTCACTGTGCAACGCTCTTGAGTATGGCAATTGTTTTCTATCCGAAATTCTGCTTGACCAAAGCCAGCCCATCAGCAGCAAGAAGAGACAAACGCTGCTGTCCGCCGTCGCCAAATCTGCAGACATTTCACTGGCGAAGACTGTACTCGAAAAAGCACAAATTGATCCTAACGATAGGGATTCCGACGGTCTAACCGTACTGGACCGGGCCGTTCTCAATGGTGACATCGCCCTTGTTGATCTGCTACTAGTCCTCGATGGAATTGATCTGAACTCCAGAAACTCGAACGGCGACACAGCGCTAGCGATTGCGATGAACGAGGTCAGCGACTGTTTAACAACTTCTCTCGGGTTAAAGGACAGGCGACCCTTTGAGACTTGCATGGAGCGATTTCTCCGCCACAAAGATGTTACCACAGAATCTCTGGATGAATATTGGCTCATCGGCTTTATTGTTGTTTACCTTAACGCTCTTAGAGATCAGCAACTAATAAAACTCCTCATCCTCAAGGATGACCGTCTCACCACTGATACCATAGTCCACGAAGGTCACGCAGAAACACTACTCGACTGGGCTCAACAGAACTACTACAGGACCATTGTTCGAGCGCTGCGGGAAAAGGAAAAGCGAATGTGGATTACGATCTGAAGTTGGCTAGGGCTGCATGCTTAGCACTTGGCTCAAGGTCGCTGTATCGCGTGTGTACCCTCGCTTGCTGCGATGGGCCTACATTTGCAACACGGAGGCGATATCAACGTGTCTTAGGGTTCTGAAGGGATGATGCCGGTCTTGGAGGATGTCACTTCCGATTTTTGTTCCCGGACATCAACTGATTGACTTGAAACGTGAGAGCCCGGCTATGGGTTGGTAAGATTCCACAGAGAAAGTTATTTCCGAGGTCTTCATCAGGTTTCTCGTTCTCTCATCTATCATATCATCTCTTTAGCATCGGAAATGCATCAAAATCGAGCTCATCTACTATATCTTCTAACTCCCCTGTATGGATAAAATCTCTGGTTGGCTCATAGACTGCATATGAAATCAAATATGACACCACGACATCACAAAATCGGCACATTCTTAGCACCGCCTGTTGACGACGTACTGACCGTCACATCCTTCCACGCCTCCATCTCCTCCCGAGTCTTCTTCATCTCCGCCTCCAGCAATGGGAGCGTCTCCGGTCCTAGCAGCAACCGCCCGGGCAGTTGCCTCTCATCCTGCCCAACAAGAACATCAAAAAGCACCTTAGCGCAGTCATCCGCCGCCGAGAAACACGCCTGAGCCACCGGATCCATCATATACGTCAAGAGTCGATTCAGCGACCCGTCTGGCGTATCATATGCAACCAGACGGTTGATGAGTCAAGCATATTGATTTTGTCCGTTTTCTTGTAGTAGCGAACGCTATTACTAGTAGACCTGTAGACCGGATGGTTGTTGTATATATACCCCGCGTCCACACAGTAAGACTAAAGGCAATGCGGTTTGCGGATATAGACGGACATGTCGAAGAATGGCACGCCTTAAAGCTGTCGGCATCTGATAGCGTGGCTAAGATATGATTATTCCATCCATAGAGAAGACTATCAGACCGCATTATCCACAATAGGACCCCCTTCAGGCGTGCCATTATCTCCACTGTTGTGCAATAACACAGTTAATGGCTGATGTTGGATCGTCACTCCAAGCCAATGGACACGTACAAGACTTTGAATAAAGCGCTAAGAGTGATTCTTATCGATGTTATTGGTTTGCCAATTTCGGAAGAAGCTTAACCAATGCAGGCAAAGGACCACGGTTTGATTGGACTGTTCGTATGCTTGACTCATTCTGGCTCATCTTGCCACGTTCTACTGGTCAAGTCTGAAAAGGCATACTTATTAGCGAATGGTCCATATATCAAGGAAATTCAGGAACTCCAGGAGACATCAACTAAGAAAAGATGGAAGTGTACAAAACTCGTCTTTTTCCTCATGTGCTCCCCTCTTCACCAATCTCTACTCCTTTATCCATCCTAGATGCCACCGTTGCCCGATTTGCTCCAGCAGGCGCAATATGGCTATGGGATCGTTTCCCAGAGAATCTCCCAGAAGGGGAATTCATCAATCATCTCCAATCTTCATTTGTGCAAACTTTATCCGACTACCCACAATGGGCCGGTCAGCTCCAATGGGCCCCGGTTCGAGAAGGCGGCCATCACACCGAGCGCTTCAACCGGCCAATGATCGTCTACGGGACGCCTGATGACCCTGGAGTTGAGTGGCGTGTCGTCAAACGAGACGGCATATCGGGCGGGACGCTGGTACCTTCAGCCATGGAACGAGCAAGCACGGGAACCTGGAACGGGGACAATTTCCCCCAGAGAGATTTCCTGAGTGAAACCCCATTGGCATTGCATGATCTGCGTGGGTACCAGGGATTACCCGGTATGCAGGTGCAAATCACGCTATTAAAGGATGGCGCATACGCAATTGGAATCCGAATGGCACATGTCCTCGCCGATGCCCAGACGTTGTTGGTGTTTTTGCATCAGTGGGCGGCCGCAAGTAGAGCCGCGTTTGGTTCACACAATACAAAGTCGTTGATGGACGCTCCAGTCTTTAATCCAGCGCTGTTAGACACACATGCTGCCGGGGATATTGACGGCCCAGCGCCGGATCGCGGGCTGGTTGCGACAGCGCGTGAGCTGCCACTGCACCGGTTCGACTGGTGGAAGACGGACGACCCGGGATATCCGAAGGTAATGGTGCCCAACACGCTGAACTCGATGCCTTCTCGTGAGCTACTGGACAGCGTCGAACTCTCTCCGTCGACATCTGCACCATGGACATCGTGGGATTTGTCCAAACCAATTCGCTACAGGCAGCTCCATTTCTCAGGGAACCGATTAGCAGATTTGAAACGGAAAGCGCTGGCACAGGGTCGAGGAGATATCTCTCGACTCGATGCATTACTAGCCCACCTCTGGATCTCCATCAACCGCGCCAGGAATCTCGCCAATTGCCCCGACTCTGTCTTCCTTGATCTCTCTATAGGCACTAGAACACGCGTGTCTCCTCCTCTACCTGACACATTCCTCGGATCACCACTCTTTCTCACTCACGTAGGCTCCTCAGCAAAGGCCCTTTGCGCTGCGTCTATCGGAGACATCGCCAGCCAAATCCGAGAGACAATGGCCCTATTCACGCCAGAAAAGATCGGCGCGATGCTCCACGATGCCGCGTATGAGGTCTCCCCGCAGCGGCTGTGGCAGGCGTTCTTGGGCTCGCGACATGTCCTTGTCACCTCCTGGTTGCGATTGAAAGTGTACGAAATAGACTTTGTTGGGGATGGAAACCGTCCGCGGTATGTGCATGCCGTTCTGCCCAAGCTAGATGGGGAAGTGCAGGTTATGGAATCAGGGGCCGATGATAACGGGGTGGATGTGGCAGTGTATCTGGAGGAAGAGGTCATGGAGAGGTTCCTGGCTGAACAGAGGAAGTTTACGGTGTAGTATACCTGATACTGGTATCGGTCTGAGAATTTAGGAATATAGAGCTCAGACCTTGCTCCAAATCCAAAAATCGATGCTCCTCATTTCAATTCGGTGGCCAACTTTAGAGATTATATCGCCTGTCATACTGCAGTTCGATCATATGGAAAAACCCAGGATACAGAAAGTATCCTAGATGACAGAGTGCAGCCCATAAATCAAGTAGAAATCTAGCAGATTTGCATAAGATGGATGAATGACATTGTCATTATCAGCAGCGTCCTCCCTATCGATATAATTTGACGCATATAAGATAGTAGCTGCTTATGAAGACCGGTCCGATTGTAAAGGCAGAAGACTTGAGGAACTCGAAAAAAAAAAAAAAAAATAAAAATAAAAATAAAAAAAAAAAAAAAGAAGAAGAATAACCAGTCCCCGGGCCATAGTGTCTATGCCATATCTGTCAGGTTGTTGAAGTATAAACAGACCACTCCGGCGATGTTTGTCAATGCTTGTCAGCTCCTTGGAGACTTGAATATTTTGGCAGTCTGCTGTTGACGGAGAAGGCACAAGAAGTATATAGCATGTTGCTTCTTCATCTTCGAGTAGACAGGCGTTTCCATAGTCTGCCGCTAGAAATATAACCCTAGATAGCCACGGGACGAAGTTGTATACTTGTCTGTACCTTGCATGGATCTTAGAACTGGAATGCAACGACACGCAGGTTGAATTGTTGTAGAACAGGAGGCACAGCACTCATGTCCCACTAGAACCACAGAGACCAATACCTCTTGGTTAGTCCTGTCAATCAGAAATGCTGACGATCTTCCCACTGCGAGGTCCAGGAACAGAGAACAGACACAGCTGGGATATTTGCTACCATCCTCAACTTGTGTACATCGCTGCGTCTACGCAATTGCGTCTAGACCTCAAATAATACTAAAAACGATATAACAAAAAGAGCAAAAACATACAACAGCATGTATATGTCGGTGGTCACCCACCCCAGCGTCTGTTCCCTCGCCGCTTTGCCGCGCACGTTCCGGCGGCCTTTAGGTGAACACTCAGGTACCTGAATATTTTGCACTCGACTACCAAGAAGCTGTATTTTGACAAAAGCACACAATAGCGCCCCTGTGTGAGAGAGAAATTGTTTAAACCCATGATGTGTCCGTCTTACTCCTACACCTTCATCCATAACTTGAAACTGATCGGACAGTATGCCACACAAGCCAGTTGCAAACTTTACGTGCGTGATCAACCTTGATGATCACGATGATAAAGAGATCAAACAAGCCGTTCTTCCACGAACGGCCGAAAAGTATGAGCGGAGTGTGAAGATTTTTGACCAGTAAGTCTTTCGAATCTACGGAAGGCTTGCATCTCATCCTCTCAGATTCCTTGAGCTGCACCCCACTGCCCGCTCTCCCCCAGATATCAAAACCTACAAAGGGTTTTTGGAATTTTACGCAAGAAACACGACGGGTCGGATCAAGGAAAAGCCTACAACGGAGACCGTGGAGAATTTCCGCCAGGACTTCGAAACAGCTCTTGCTCAGCTGAGGGACTTCTCTGTCCCAAAGAATATGTCGAATACCATGAAGGAGGTATGGATTTTTGAGCCTGATATAGTCTGTATACTAATAAATCTCAAAGTACATTATATCGGACTTAAAGACCAAACTTAATCTTCCAGATGTTGAGATGTCCAGAGATGGACTCTCTCCAAATGATTTGACCATCCTTCTAACACAGCTCTGGTGTTGGGACTTTAAGGAATACCGTGGACAGTTTCCTGACCGGAGTAGAGTACAGCTTACCACATCAATATTACTCTATTACTTTTCGTCCGCCCGAACTGGAGAGGTGCATGAGTCAACAGCTCGCCGATCTCTTGCCCGGCAGAAGGATAGCAGCGACGACAATAACGCGAATCTCCAGGCCAGTGCCATGGCTGCATGCTATAAGGTCCGTATCCAGCTATCTGTCTTTGGCGAAAGGCTTTTGAGGCTGATCACGCACAGCATTTTATCCTCACCATAGAACTGGTTGATGGCATTCCGATGTTGGTGTTGACTTATGCTCGGGAGTTTATAAAGGGGTACTGGAGAAAGAAAAAATGGGAACCTCCAGTGCATGCTTTCTATGAGGTGTACAAAGAGGAAGTCCCAGTCTTTTTCAACTTGATTTTCTTCATGCTTCCGTTATTTTCTGCTGACCGTGCTTTCCGCCATTACAAATCATATACTAAGATCCTTGATGAAGTGGACTCCATCAAGGTCAGCGACTTACAGTCGCAGTCCAACCACGTTATCTCCAGGATCCATTTTCGGAAAGATCTATTAGATACTCTGGTATTTAGGCCATTCAGCGAGCTGGATTGTGAAACCTCCACAGGTAGGGCAAGAGGTGCTGATGTATTTAGAAAAGAGTTTGCTGCACTTGGGTATCGGAGCGGGTATGAACTAAATGTTACTGCCCGTGCGTGTCATCGATGGGCACTGATGGAAACAGGTAGGAAATCACGCTAATCCAGTGTTGCCATCTGAGCCACTCACATTTCATAGATAAGAAATACTCCCAGACAGCTCAAATGAAGCATGCTTCTCACACTAAAGCACGCACTTTTGGCTGATCATACACTCATCCTGTGTGTGAAGTGGATGGACCTGCAACCTACTTGAATATTACTTCCCGCCATGAGCATATTCAAAATTGACGCAGCATGGGCATACACCATAACCCAAATCTATGGCAATCTCTACCCGCAAAAGCGGAATTTGAATTCCAGGAACGAGAAGACGTCATGGCACTTGACACAGAATTCGCACTCCTCAGCTCCCAACTTGCGAAGGCCGACAGCCAGGAAATGGCGCACGAGATTCACCTGCAACGGTGTCGAGTCCAGAGTCAAAAGGACAAGCTGTATCTCAAGGAACTTAAACAACAACGGGAGGTCCAACAGGGTACCCAAGCAGGAAGCATCTATGAACAAACTCTCTTCCACTACCGCCAGCGAGCTATGCCAGAGCGGGACCTCCTCACTCAGATTTTGCCAACTAGGATAACTATACAAAGCTCAGCTGGGCTGGGCGCTATGAAGGCACTAGAAACAATCTGCAGCCAGTACCATCTGGTTACCTATCAATCAGGCTTACGACCGGTCAACGGCAAGTGCATGTGTGGTGAATCAGTAGATAGGTAAGTGTTTGCCTGCTACTATACACCAACGTTTACTGACCCCGTAGGTTTCACGCCCATCGTCAATGGCTACATCTATATTGGTGCTATCACAAGAGACTCAGTCAAATGAGTGTAGACGATTTTGCGGAGTTTTGCTTTGAGTGCGACATGTGGTTTAACAATCGCAACAAATGGCGCCAGCACTGTGAAGATCATCTCAGCAAGCCTACTGAATTGCTTCGCTGCGATCTGATAATATTCCGGAATTGCCCGGTGAAGCCTGGTTACTGCCCTTTTTGTCTGGGTAACACAAGCCTAGGCCCGACCCAACAGATGGAGCAATATCTGGATATGAGCAAGTGGTATGGTCACGTTCAATCTCACCTCAGCCACCAGAACTTATCGGGCGAGTTTCACTGCCGGCACCCCGCATGTACACAGGGATACGGGTTGTTGATTGAATTGGCATGTCATCTTGAAGATGTCCACTGCTACAAACCTCCTCGTGGAAAGAAGTGATCATTGGAACCATGACTAGAATAGAAGACAGAAGCTTGCGGATTCGTACAATATATTCCTCATCTGTGTGTTACCGTAATTATTAATCCTATAATCGTCTATCTCTTTCTGCAGCCCTCCAACGACCAAACATCCATCACTTCACAGAAGGGTAGATTCAGGTACCCCAAATACCTCAGCAGCCCCCGATTTTGCCTTAATTTTTTTTTTATTTTTTTTTATTTTTTTTTTAATTTTTGTATACAAAAATGACCATTTGCATGCGGGCCTCTTTGGATTGAGACATATATAAAATGGATAGTGATAGCACATGCTGATACTTGTGTACTAAAATATTTTCAGAGAGCGGCGAAAATTCGGGGTTCGGTGTATTCCCGGCTCGGTGGTTGATTACGTCCACTTACGTTAATGGTGACTAATTTAGTTAGCTGGCCACAACATCTGTCTTAACTCGCTATAATACTTTGACATCCTGGGATGCGGAAATGCATACTTCGCCAGGACGTTGAAAGTTTGCAAGTCTTATAAAGGTCACCAACCACAGAGCAGCCTCTATTTGTGGAGGCTGTCCTTCTGGCTTCAATCATATAGTGTCTCCTACGGTTGATCATATGTCCTTTGAGGCCATGAAAATGTCCTAAGGCTTTAACGCAGCTGAGAACTCTGGCAACTGGGACATCTGTTAATCCTGCCTTCATCCTCGGTTATCATTACATATTTCCGGCTCTGGTAAAACGGGGGCTGTACTGTCAATTCCCCCCCTAAACTTGTATGTGTTACGAAACACCTGCAGGCAGCAATGGAATGGTTGGACAGGGCTTACGAGAAAGGTGGCGCAGGTTGACGTAAAGTGGTTAAGCCACGTGACCAACGGTCCCTGATGCCAAGGAAGTGGTGACGGTCCATAAGGGACCAATAACTACGTAAAGACACGATGGACCTCAAGGTATGGACCGGAAAGGAGGAACTATATCATTCCCAGTGTACCTAGAGTTTTTTTTTTTTATTTTTTTTATTTTTTTTTTTTTTAGTTTTTCGCGCTCAATACAAGTTATTCACTCGAGTACAAGTTCATTAGTCCGATTCGTCAGTTACTCTCTACTATTGGGCATACGTACTCAATAGGTCTTGCTTCTATCTCTACTGTTATTGTTCTTGTGTTACCTTTGGATTGCCCTTGACCCGCGTGAGGTCATCGTATCACTGCATCGATAGACTACCTGGGCGGTAGGCCTCATGCAAGGATATAGTCCAGGACTATACCACCTCGTTCCCAAAGTAGTAGAAGCAGAGAACAGCAGAGACGGATCCCAGGGTGTGGCAGTATGTAATATTCATTCGAGCAATTCCCGGATTCTCGATGGATAAACTTATTGGAATTTCCAGTAAACAAAGCGTCGCTAGCAAGTGTGTGTGATTGGGCGGACACGACTTCCCTTTTCACTGTGGTACATAACTAGCGGGTATCTTAGCGTCCCGATCCTGATGCTTCGCTTTGGCTAATCCATCATTGGGAGACTAGTGTTTCCTCTCAGCTTTAAATGCGGCCATTTTATCCCCTGCAGCTCCGAAATTGCGATCACCCCTTGACCGCCATGGAAATCAATCATTTATGTCCGCTATGCGGACGAAATCTGAGCATTACGCGTGAGAGTCACTATGCTCTTGGGGAGAGGGTAGGTGAGGACGGGATCCGGACAGTCACCTTAGCACTACTCCATCCTCTTACCGATGCCCGGCTGGCTGAGATGGTCAATGCACGTGCTAGGAGCCTGACTGAGGTGTTCATACATCCCGGCTGCTGGCTGATTGCTAGGAGGACATTGAGCCGCCGTACGAGCACTGACGGAAAATACGTCAGTGTATTTCTAGAGCGCTTGAGTCAATTGCTACCATTTCTGGCAAGGGTCCCTTTCTCATGTCCAACCGACGGTTTGGATGTGGATATTTTCGTGCCACTAAAGAATGGGGAAAGAACAGAGCCTCCGTCACCTTTCTCACGCTGTCCGACTGAGATCGTCCAGATTATATTTGCCTTCCTCAAGCTAGATCAGGATGTTTCAAACTTCTCCAGGCTAGGGGCCCGAGCCCTCGGCATTGCGGGGAAATTGGTCACACATACGGACTCAAGGAAGATGCAGATGCGGAAATAAGTGTTCCAATCCTCCTCCGGAATATCTTTCAGCAGCCGCCAGCCCGATTTCCCTTCACAACGAACTATAGGGTCGTATCGGATTAATTATCAGTGGCAACCAGCCGTTAAGAGGACATCCAACTAGCAGTGCGTAACGACTCAACATCCCATTGCGGACGTGTAGTAGTCCCATGGGTCCCAAGTACTAGGAAATTGCTCCATAATCATGGGCAGGTAGGTGAGGGACCATTCGTCAGCTCTGTCAGCGGTATATTGCGCCTTGCGAGACTCCCAGTATTCAGGCAGCCAACCGGATTGCTCCCAGTCAACAACCGCCAGAATACGGTATGGGCGTGTGGGTGTGACGATGATATTACTGCGATGCAGGTCGCCATGAGTAAACTTAATTGCACAGTTGTCTGGGAGGTCATGGCGGAATGGTTCCACTGGAACTGAGTACGGATCTGGCATGGGTCTTCGGTGAAGAAATGTAAACCAATCATAAAAGTCGCGAACTGTAGCGAAAGGGCCTGCTTCATGCATATAGTTCACATGAAATGCTCTATCATAAAGAGGTCCCTTCGTAATGTTGCCTACGAAGAGAAAGATTAGCTGACAGCAATCACTCATCCAAAGGGTACCCAGGATATTCGCAGCTACAAACAGGTCCTCTGGGTCCTGTTCAACTTGGCGTAGATGCTGAAAGATTGTCCTGAGTTCGCGACAGATGCCAGCCTTATCCTCATATCCCATGCTGGGCCATGCTTGCTCAAGCGATTGCCCATTTACATACTCCATGTAAATGTAGGCCTCATTACCCTCAGTGCGCCAACCATACACTTCAGGCACAGGAACATCGCCTTTGAGGAATTGATGGACGGCAAATAGGGACTGAGCTTTGGATATTTAAACAGAGCTTCCCTACTTAAATGAACAAGCCCATTTCTTCGAAAATGATAGGTGGCGGTCGGACATAAGGTGCCGCCATCAAATGAACTTTGTTTTGATTTGGATACCCTCCAGCAAGATGCTGATGCTGTGTCCTAGCGCCTGCCTGCACTTCATTTGCTGAAGGTAATCGATCCTATTTGTGGAAAAAACTTGAATCTTCCACAACAAAACTGAGAGAGTTAGGGATCTTCTATTGCGTAAGTCGCACCTGTTCTCCTTCACAGGTCATGATGTGTGAGCCTAGACAGGTGTGACCGTGTGGCCCTTACCTGTTTGCGGTGGAACCGCGGGTGTTTTGTGGTGTCTGTCAGATGATCACATGATTAGGTCTTGGCTCCAGGCACCAACTTGGCGACTCTTTCGCGAATGTTAGCTACTTCGCCGCTTCACAGACAGCGTAACGTCAGTAGTTTCTATGTCTATGTCCTTGCGGGCCCATTCCTGACCCCCCTTAGCTTCTGTGTGACAATGGTCACTCGTCTACGCTATGAGAATTTGAGTTGACCGGAACCGACCCGTGGGTCCCGTCCTGGGGATCATCTTGGCTGCATTGTACTGCCATTGACGAGCTACAGAGAGCTTGTTTGACGCTAATGCATGGGTTCTTGACTGCCCACATCAATTCTTTATCCCCACGGGCCTCCTGGTTTCCGACTGATACGTCAGAAAATTGTATAGTTCTCTACCAGAATCAATCTATCTGCTGGTCGTACTTTTCTGGTGGACGCCCTGATCGCGATGGATCCACTCTCTATTAGTTATGCTTGCTGCACGAACATGCTCTGCCCTCTCTGACGCACGTGAACTTGCCCGGTCGGCTCCATGCAGTCAACAATGAAGTTGCTGACTTCAATCTTGTCCTTCTTGAATTATCCTCACTCATAGATGGCTGGGGATGTCTGCCTGAGAGCGAGCTTTCAGCTGTTCCTCGTATTTTACAGCAAGCAAACAAAAAATTAGTGGGAATCAAAAACCTTCCATATCAGGGGATACGTGCACTTTGGTGACTCATTTGCGCCGAACTGGAACTACCTCCTCGAACGCCTGCTGCGTGGGATCCTCCAACTATGGGCAGCTCGTGTACAATTCCCTGGACAATACTAGCATCCCCTTCCAGAACTAGGGTTAGATTACTGATCGCTGCACCCCCCACCCCCCCCCCACCCCCCCTCCCTTTTGGGTGATTTTTTTAGTGAATACCTAAGATTGTATATAACTTCGGAACTTTATAGATGGTGACTCCGAACAGAGGGGAGCTTGCACCTCGTAAGAAAACTTCTCTCTTCAGGGGGAGCCACGATGACTACACCTCGGCACTCATTGAAGACAGATTAGCCTTAGTGCACTCAGTATAACACTAAGGAGTCTACGACTAAGATTTGGCATCGACAATAAATTAATATTGAAAAGGCACCGAAGGATGGAGTATCAAACTATGGTCAGTTTCTTTACAAACACATGGAAACCACATGCGGAAAGACTAGTCCAGTTGCACGACGGTAATTTCAACTAGAGTAGAAGTTATGCTTTGTTTTCCTTCAGAGTTAGGCTGGGATTGATTTACCTATTGCCTTGCAAGATAATCCAACCAAGCTATTGCATAAAATCTATTGTTGGAGGGGCCGGGGATCTGCTGTAGACCTGGATAACAATCCTCCTCAGAGACCCGATAGCTCGGAAATGCGCATCAATGTTCTGTAAGACATCCTGGAGAAATTAAGGATTGGTCTCTTGGTCTGCTATTAGACCGCCATTCGAACCATAGACAAGGGTTTCTAGTGCTTTTAAGTTGGTGCACTTTTCTTTGAAGAAGCCGCAAAGTCCGGAGCCCATCTTCCCTTAACCTTATCTCGCTTGATTGGCCGTCTTTCCGCTCAATGGCAGGAAAGTCCATCCGTAGCTGCGACAGAAAACTTGCATTCACTGATCCAATGCAGTCTAGGAAGGATTGTAGGAGGTTACCCTGACATTTTGTTCCCTCCTTGAGGGCAAACCTATTTGTACTATAAAGAATTGCATTTAACTCCTTCAAGATTTGGGGATGGGTATATAAAAGCGCGAGCCACTGAGGTGGTTTTTCAGGCGCGAAAGATTCTACTGGACAACCTGGATCTTGGAAAAGAACAAGTTGTTGTGGCAAAGCCAGCACTTCTTTGTAAATACGATTGCGAAGCTTGATTGGTAGGCGAAAAAAGCCAATGTAGGTGGAGGATGATGGTGAAGAAGCCTTGTATGATGGCGCAGTGGCCATGGTGACTTGTTTCGCTCGCTGGAGGACTATATCGCATTAAGGGTACAGTATCCGACGTCTAGCAGGTCCAACTTCGGAGACTGCAGACCAACGGTATCTTCGATATAAAGATAGTTTGTCGACAATAAATGAGCTGGCATTCGAGGAACGACTTTCTCCTATATATTCTGGGAATTGGGCGAGCGAGAGTCCGACGGAGGCAGTAGCCATAGAATTCGTGTCAGTATGCGTGTTAGTCTGCATGTTAGTGATGTACCATTCTTGCACGTACTAGTGATGATGATTTAAAGTATTTGAGTAAAGTAGGCGGTTGAGCATGCTCTGGTCTTCTTGCCTTCTTTGTCTTGAGAAAATTTGTTTGCAAAGGCGCCACCAGACTGTTCTCAGAAACTTTGTGACGTGGCACGCCTATGGCCACTTCCGCCCAATCAGATAATTTGCTGATGAGGGGATAAGGCACTCTGAGTGGGGCAATTGCTATGTGCGGCCCGTTCCCCTCCTGATAACTTCTAGGCGTTGGCCAAAAGAAATCACCATTTCAGGTATATGAGACGGTAGCCAGCTGGCCACCTCAGATTCCTTAAAACTAAAGTTCTTTCCGCAACATCAATATCTCATCGTCTAGGCCAAACGGATATTTTTTTCACGAATTTACCCACTATCATGATGCAGTCATTAGATGACCCTGGTTGGATGAGGAGTAAATTCTGCTGATGATTTGATCGACTTTGAAATAAATCTTGAGAGTCGTTCTAGGATTCAGAACTAAAGGATAGCCCTCGCCCATCACAAATCTCTAAAGTGCACTTGGAACTTCTAGTCAGGTAAGTACCATTTCAATTAGATAAACTTGTGTTCAGTAACTTGCCCGCATATTTCTCGCCATCTGTATATGCCCTACTGGCTCACTGTCTTATAGCCTGAGTAGCAATGCCTCTAGTTATCTGAATGCAAGAATAGATGACATCCAAATTGAACACATATGGGAGTCTCTGGTTAGGGAATGTACTGCATGAAGTCTGGCGTCCAATGCATCAACGATCAACAAGACTAGCATAGCTGTTAACTCTTCAGACCTTTGGAGTGCAGCATACCGTGAGGCAGTTGAAAGTGTTTAGGATGAGATAGATATTACAATTCTAGAGGGAAAGAACGTGGCGCAGTTATTTGCAGAGCTAGACTAACTTAAGAGAGAGGTGATGCAAGAATCTGCCTTTAAAAGAGGTTTATGATGCTTGCGCTCTTTACAAGTACCCCTTAAGAGGTTTAAAATCTTGCTGGATCTGGCGAGTCCTTTAGCAAGCATGGAGCCAACGGCAACCACAGTGGTTGGTCTACTTAAGGGCGTGACTGCAGTAAGTCCTTTGATTTATGAATATAGTATATATCTATGCAGCAGATAGTTAATAATTCTTTAATAAGATTGCCATCAGCTTCGCCACTGCTGATTTGGACTTTGCAAAGCAGATTGCAGAGATGTTAGAGAAAATCTCTTACATTGATGACTGTGACACACTTGGCTGAAAATCAGATAGAAAGGACATCCACAATGTATGGTCTACAACTATGACTCCTCTGTGTATGTCTCTGACTTTGATAGGTACTTGTTATGGTGCATCAAAAGATGCTTAAGTTCTACAAAGTCGCTTATGAAATGTTGAGCCGGAAAGGAGCAAAGCTCATAATAAAAATGGTCTTGGAGACTGACCGCCCTCCCAAGTATTATATCAGAGTTTCTGCGGTATTCTGACACACTTCATAATCTTATCCAGAAAGCGACATGGGAAATTATGGAGGATATCAAATCGATGCTATATAATTATAAGAGTAAGGACGCTCTTACTTATTCCTAGAAAGCTAGTTCTCATGCTCTCCTAGTTGCTCGATGGCTGGGACGCAATCAGATGACCCACCAGTATCAGTACCACGATGAGCTCCAAACCATCTGAGCTGACTAGGCCTGCAAATATTTGCTAGAGACATCTAGTTTCGTCAAATAGTATAACGCTATTGACAATTTTCAGCAGCTGGTTTTAGTTGGTGATATGGGTTGTGGCAAAACTGTTGCCATGTCATTTCTAGTAGATATACTGAAGAGGAGAAATTAGGGACAACTACTAGAGCCAAAACTATGCTATTACTATTATCAAGATGATAAAACTAGGAAAGGTACATCCATACTTTCTATGCTGATTTTATCCCTACTTGAATAACTTCCAGGCCTGAAAAAGCCATTTTTTGAGTAGTACAAGCAAGCTCAAGTAGCTGGAACTTTTAATCCAGCAGCTAGTATTACAGAACTAGGAGAATATCTTAAGAGGCTACTAGAAATGATTAACCAGCCTATTTATTTTGCGATTGATGGTCTGGACGAGTGTGATAGAGCGTCTTGCGGTAGTCTTCTGTGTATTTTAGGAAAATTATCATGTAAGGCATGGAGGCTTAAAATCTTGCTTTCTACTTGTCCTAAACAAGTGATATTAGAGCAACTGGGGACGGCTGCTTGGATAAAACTCAATCCCAATGCTGAGCGCGATGCCATAGTGGCGGATAAGCTGATTGAGAATCAACTATTATATCTTTTGCTGAATGTCAAAATACTCATTCGCGATCAGTTGTCTCGCTTAGCACAAGGCAGCGCCATATGGACAAAGATGATTGTTAAGCTTATTAAAGTCTGTAGAATAAGTGCAATTGATCCTATGCGATGTTTCATGCAGAATATTCCACTTCTAAAGCAGCTGACTAGCCTCTACGCTATGCTATTTTCTCACTCTACCTTGGACAATCCAGAAAATCAGCAACTTGCCAGTATAGCAAAGACTTCTTACTGTTACATACAGACCTTTTAGCATACTCAAGTTAGCCTAGGCCGTAACACTAGATTTTACTCATGTTACTACTGTGAATGATCTTGCTTGTCTGGTGGACTACCAAAGAATCATGTCTCTCATCCATCCATTCATTGCACGCGTTGATTTAAAGGATCTGAGGGCACGCCAGGTTCGTCTAGTGCATCAATTAGTGAAGGAGTTCATATTAGAGAATTAGACTTCTGATCTGCCTCTCATGCAAGGTGGCCCAGTCAGAAAGCCCAGTTAAATAGTCACTGAGCAGCAATTGGAAGACCTAAATGCTTTTATATTAGATATTTGTATTAGATACCTCCTCTTAGATGATATTGACCAGCGCAGCCTCTTTTCTGAAGAGCAGATGGCGATTGCAGAGTTACCTCAAGATGATGATCTGTTCAATGACAACAAAGAACCAGTTTAATACAACCCATATTACATGTGGGAATCTTGGGAAGAGAACATGATCCATTACAATCCAACTAAGTATGGCTTTAGTGAGTTCTTTGTGTATGCATCATGCCACTGGCTGGAGTATTTCAGCTCTATTACAGTTAATAGTCTTCTAAAACTAGAGAACATAGATGACCTATGCTGAGCAGGCTTGACTTAGCTCCAGAATTAGATACAACAAAACTATTGACCATATTGTACAATCCAACCCAGGTTCAAGTTCGAAAGCAGTCTATATAATCCACTTAGCATAACTTGCTTATATGGTTCGGAGGCAATGCTGCGTGTTATGCTTGAAAAATCGGACTTTAACAATGGATGATTTCTTCGGAACCCGGCGATGGGCGCCGCCAATCAGATACTCCGATGGGGAGATATAACAAGACTCAGGACACTGTTTCTGGATGAGAAATTAGGGCATGAGTTACAGAACGTTGGCTTTTTCCGACTTATCATCAGAAGATGGTCTGACTGTATAAGTAAGCAAGACTGGACTCCTGTATTCAGCCTTATTGACTATATGCCGGAAGGATCGGTCCAGGGGGAGTGGCGGAACAAGATCTTGACTCTTGCTGCCAACTATCGATGTACACCCATGATCGAGCGGATGGAAACCCCTCAACAGATATGTCTATGATCAGTCATGCACATAACTAATACATTTTATCGAAAGAAAGAAGCAAACCATTCTCGCATTAAGATGTAAAAGATCGCTCCTTGGAATATGTCCATTCTGCAAAATCCCAGAAACTGGAGCTTCCCTGCAATGGTTCTATCTTGGCCGTCAGATCCGTTAAGCCACATATCGAAAAATGGCATGAACTAGGGTTTGACTGTGACTCAAGATCAAGCGTAAGAAAAGATGGTCTATGGTTGGAAGGCAAATGAACTGGACACGCTCGTTGGTCTCTTTTAGCTGGACTGGCTTTGGCCTGGGCGCTGTCAAGTTTACTGCCTCTCATCGGGCGACCAAATTACGCCACAAGGCAACTTGGAGTGATGACGCGCTTCGTTCGGGGAAGTGCGCAGCAGTCTCTGCCCACGGCATTCCCTCCCTTTCCTTCAGTCGCACCAACAGTGCGTTTTCGTCTGAGGTGTATGGCTTTTGTTTTCCCGAAGTATCGACCGAAGGGGTCTGAGTCAGCATCGGACTAGAGTCAGGAACGAATGTGAGATAATATGCTGGTTTTTGTCCACTGGATTCAACTGTGAGGATGGCTCTCCCGTGGACCTCGTGCATAGCACGGGAACAATCACATGGAACGGGGTCTGAACCGCCCAGTGACTGCCGGAGGGACTTCGCCGGAGGTTTTGATTTCTTCTTCGGGTTCTAGAAACCGTGAAAGAATATCAGACCCGGGCACCATTTTGCAAACAAGTGTATCGACATTCACACGAGGGTTTCGCGAGGTCACAGCCGTGAACGCATATGTCAATCCTCGCTTTGGTCCATTCGCTTTGACGGGCTTAGAGTTCGATATCTCAGCTATCAAAGCCATTAAAAACATAGATACATCTTGTAGTGAGCTCCTCCATTACACTCGATAGATTGTGTTCTGATAGGCAGCGGCCAACTCTTGCCACGTTATACCTTAAAGGTACGGGAGTGCAAAGACTTGCGGCCATTAGTATAGCCCCGAAAATTCAGCAAAAAGGAAAAGGAAAGGGGAAAAAAGGGGAAGTGGGGTAAAAGGAAAAAGAAAGAAAAAGAGGGAAACGAAAGGCAAAACGAAAGGAAAAATAAAAGAGAACAGAAAAAGAGGGGAAAAAGGGGAGAAGCCCTACCAAGCCTTCCTGCGAAGGGAACCATCTGTTATCCGAGTTGAATATGTAAATCTGACCGTTCTCTTTCAACCGAACCATGAGCGAGACGTCCGCATTACACTCCCAGCAGAATTCAAATGCCTTCCGGAACAAGATATCTCCTTGTCGTTTGTGTTGTTGATAGTGATATGAAGGAAAAGCTTTCTCAGTAAGCTCAACCACTAGGCAAATCATGGACCTCACTGGATCAGTACAATCATGTAATACATGCGGGTTCCATCAGGCATTCTTGCATTTGCTTAGGTTTGCTCTTCTCCTATCAATTAATTGGCGCTGACCTTGGTCAGCCTGAAAGTGTTATTACTCACCATCAGCAGTAAGTCGCATTCTCGGCAATTTGTTCTGGCGTGTATATCATCTTAGCAAAGTAGAGTCAATAGACCCGTCCAAATCTCTGACGCAGCGCATGGCATCGAGGTACACTTGCTTCCCCGGTATAGAAGTCTCATCGCTGACTGTTGATAAAGACATCTCGCAAGAAACCAATAAAGCCCTTACACGCAATGCATGATTGATATCACTCATCGACAGTTCACGTAAATATCTGCGAGCGAGCTCATTGTGCTTCTCGTAAGCATCGATTATTCGAGCGCGAGAGTCATCCGCAAGATATTCCCCTCTTATACGGGTCGCAGATGCATGACAGAGTTATATTAAGAGCTCGGCTTTGACTGTCAGGATGTCGCGTATGATAGATGGAGGTGATAACTGAAGGCCCGATAATTTCTCTTCTATAGTGCGTTCGTCGGATACTAGATATGTCTCACAAGCGAACCCAATCCTTTTGGTCATTGCCGCGTAATATAAGCCACGACATTACGTGGTGATATAATGGGTCTTCTTCGAAATGTCGCTTCCAGAGAAACAAGGCGGTTTTTGCGATAGCAAGACCACCAAAGGAATTGGCATTCCCAAACAACCGTTTTAAAGACCCGTACAAATCACTGAACGCTTGAACCTGTTTGCTGCGACTTTCGGATGGGGTCTCATCTGCAATCCCAACAAATTGCACATCAATTAGGCCTTTATATGGCTTTTCTAACCCCCGTGAGATGAGGCTCGCAGCTTGCCATGGTTCGTACTTGCCGATGTCCTCCACTTGTCTTTCACCATTTTGAAGGCATAGCTTTCTTATTTCTTCCGCGGTTTCGGGAAGGGAAAACGGGGCCGTCAATTCCGATATGCTGCCACAAAGTGGTACATCAATAACGCCCTGTATTCGGGTCTGCAGTCCGCGTTGTTCACGGCGCAGGACGGATGAAATGATTGTAACACGACTGTGGGATGACCGTTGACAATAGAGATTTCCTTCGCACTAGTCGATAATTTTCTCCTGGCAGCTCAATTTGTTTCAGCCATTCGTCGCAATATGCGTCACGGTGGCATCTCAATATGACTTTTGGTTTCTTCGCTCTCAGGATTTGTGCGGACTTCATGACACTGTTTATCTTGCTCTGTTGCATATTTATCAGGTCGATAAGAGAAGGCGTTCAGTACGGTGACAGTATGTATGCTTCGGGCCCCTTTGGTAGCAAAGCGAATGACTTCGTCGACTGCTAACAGTGTCTCGGAACTTTTGACAAAGTCTTCGAAACTAACGTCGAATTTGTGGTTTCTTCTGTGGCGTGGACGTTCCAATATAACCACTATGTCCGAAAAGCCGGCTGCTAAGTTCTGCGCTTGAGTGATTTCGTCTTCGGGTCGAAGTAGAGCTTTGCCGAATTTCTCGAGTATCTCAATGGCTTCGTGATCTCCGCGGGTAGGAAGACAAACCGGCGGAGCATGGGCTAGGTCTTTCATCGACAGAGGAACAGGAATTTGGAGGCACGTTTGGATATCGTGAGAGGACATTTTTTTTCAGCTGTTCGCTATCAAAATACACGCTTTGGGATGGAGAGAGAGATACCCAAGTGAGCTGAGGTCGAACTGGTGATCATGACATGTGCTGAAGGCAGCGAGTGGGGTTGGAATTCATTATGGTCCAGACTAGTACATTTGAAGTAAAGCGACTGCGGAGTTCCAGATAGGTACCCACCGCAATGCAACCCCAGGACACCGCAGCCAACCGTTCCATGGTGCTTGACTAGGAGTGTTCAAGGATCATATCATCACGTGCGCTCAGAGGCAGAAGCCTGTGACAGCATACACCCGCTGATACATTTCTCCGCTCCGAGGAAGGGCGCTTTGGTGATGATCGGATATTGGAGCGTCTCAGTCGAGTTTGTCAAATTCCTAATATGCATACATGCCGTGCACCGTATAGAACACATTGCACGCCATGAATGTGAAGTAGTTATCTTTCCTTTAATCTACTTGAGATTCCTATTACCTCGATACCACATGTTTCGCTGTGCTTTTCGGCCCTTCTCTCCTTTCCCTCGCACCAGCATCGCCCCTACGGCGCGATATTTTCATCGGGTCACGGCAGATTTCATTGCCCATGACGTGAGAGGAACTCTAGTTACCAGGAAGGTGCCTATTATCGTTGGTGACCCGGGAGAAACATATGTTTTAATTGAGCCAGGGGTTGGTAGTGCCCTCCGTGCTGCCAGTCCCTTTACATCAGCTTCTGCAGCTAGCGCTGAAGATAAACGTAAACTTACCTTCTTCCATGATTCGCAACACTTTGGTTTTGGTAAGTCATTAGTCCGTGGTGGTTGTCTGGCCGGCCTAACAGTTTGTTAATGCCAGAATCATCGAGCTATCCCCGCCTTTACGTCCCAAGCCAAATGCCTCGCCAAACAGAGTCAAATACAAGCCCTGCAACTTTATTCTTAAGCGGAAAGATGCACGAGATAGTCCTAGATGGGACTCTCGATGGTATAACCCACTTACCAATCCGTCCCGCCGCACGGATGCTGATCCATTAGTCACTCGGATCCTCATAGAATGTCGCTTGCCATTTTTCCAGGATAGCACATTGCTCATCCATATCCTGGACATCACGCAAAGCTTCCAGCAGCCCACGCGGTTGGAGCCGGGGGAGTGAATTATACTTATAAACCCAGAGACCCTTGCCGTTGGATGGCCAGCCATAGATTGATTGATAATATTTTCGTAGGCCAACTAATTCACCCTCACTGTAATACTGCTCTTCGCATCTCTCTTCATCTTCCCACTCCTGAGCACCAATGAGTCGCAGTTGCTGTGCAAATGCATCCTCCTCCTTCTGAGACGCTGATCGTTGAACCAGTAACTCTGATGGGTTGAGGCCAATGAATTTCATATCAGCCGGAGTGGGGTTTTCTTTGCGCCAAAATTTACCATTTGAGGGCCAGGCTTGCACGAAGAGTCGGTGACTTTTCCTCATGACTCGAAAGTCAGGGTGCACGCCTTTTACAAGGCTAGTGCCATAGTTGATGTCAATAGTAGACCCATCATCTGGACCCTGTCCTTCTTGCGTGTTGCGTTGTTCAATAGACTGTTGAGGGGTGCTTGAGAAAAGAAATCTCGGGCTATACATGCTAGCATCAGTTAGTAGTGGGGACAGTTATCTCTGGAATAATCACTCACATGAAGAGTACTGTAGTACAGACCCCAATGACTGTCAGAAAGAACTGAAGCATTCTTTGCATGGAGGAAGCTCTGGATTGTGCGCAATCACTTAGAATGGACGGCACATATGCTTTATGCACTCAGGACTGCTACCATCTATATTGCACTTGGGCCGTGTTATCCGTGAGGTTGAGGGTGAATACAGAAATGAAGTTCCACAAAAGAGGGGGAGCTTTCTCAACAAATGAAGCTGAGTGAACTAGGCGGGGATGGGAAATCCCTATTGGGTCAAATTGCTGCCTGCTCCTGGCATAGCCTCATAGGCTCGTAGCTCCACCCAAGGCGATATTTTGGCCCTAAACGAGGCCAAAGTAACTAATACAGTTAGCGCCATCTCGATCATTGCATGGAAATGGGAACATGGGAGAAATCCTGAGGAACTAGTGCTGCCAAGCAAATCCTTGGAAATTAGCCCCAAGTCAGGCCATTTCTTTTGATTGTAACTTGGAAATCATGGACAACCAATGGCCTAGGCAAATTATGCAAAAGGATCTTGGTCAATCAGCTACATAGTATCGTATGATATTAATTCTCGGTTCCATCAAATTACTTGCTCATTTTTGAATATCTTCGGCGGCACTCATTGATCTATGCCAGCCAAGCCTGCCGCGCAGGGTTGTCCCGCCCTAATCTCCTATCCCATACTCGGTGGCAAAGGCATATGTCCTCCATTGTGGTATAGTCCTATGAGGTGGCTCAGAAGCCAAAAATGGACTTCCACTGACTAGCTTGTGAGACATGCAGAGGACGGATCCGAGGGTGGGAGTTAGTCCTCCAATGAGGATTTACTCCATAGAATTCTTAATATAAAAAAGACAAGAGGGTTACATCCGGCGCATCCAGCGCATTCAGCACTGATTAGTGTCTGATTATAATGTAAGTGGAAGGCTGCAGTGCTGCGCGTGCCAAGATTGCTGTATAATCATTGAGCCCAGTGCCCAGTAGGACAATTGGCATCTTGTTCGCGCTGCATCCGACGGAGGCACACTATAAGCACTAGCCATATCGCTAAACAGTGAACTATAACTGGTCTCTTAGGGGCAAATGTATCCTGGAAGACATTCATCTAAACTGGTACTTCAAAAAGTCACCGTGCTTTATGATATCCCTGCTCATATCTCCTCCTAGCTTACCTTAGAGAAATTGACCAGGTCAGCTGGATACTTTGATGGAAGCTCTGTTGCCTCTGTAGTATATCAGCAAAAGAACTAGGAACCACCGACTATATATCATAGCATCCGGGAATGTTCCTAATTAGGTTAATGAAGCCATTCCGATATCTTCCACCCCCAACCCTGAGGTAATTTCCCAACCTGATGTACAACTATATCTTCATGCTTCTCACTGCGTCTCTCTTATCTGAGCCAATGATAGAGGAGGTCCTGTACTAGGCGGAAAATGCACTATGCACACATCCATGGGCGCAACTAGCTTAGAGCAACTACTATGGTGGGCGTCGTCTGGTCGGAATAGCCTCGTTTTGAGACTTCATCCTCTTACTATTCTTTTTTCTTACGTACCTGCTTCATTCTAATGGCTCTCTACTGTATTTGACAATATCCTAGGGGGTTTAGACACGATTTGTAGATATAAAAGACGGCTCCCCATTCAAGCTATCAATTATCGGTCTTGCATACTGACAGTCTTTATTATATTTTCACGCTTGTCACTCTTTGGTATCTATAATCATCATACTTTCCTTTGACCCTTCCCATATCATCCTTCAAATAGATTCTCTCTTTTCAGCCTATGCTTCACATTCCTTTCTTGATTTGCAGATATTCTACTAGATCTTGATATTTTATCTGCGTGAAAAAAAATGCTATGGTGCTTGCTACTCTTGGCTATTTGGCTAGGATGCCATAAAGCACATGCCAGAGCGGTTTTTGCTTACTTTATGGTATGGCACATGAAGCTGCTGCAGCCTCTGTTTGACCTACTAACTCTTGTGGCCCTAGGTCACCAACTCTGCCAATTACACCATATCGAACTGGGAGAATGACATCAAACTTGCCTAAGACGCTCACATCGATGCTTTCGCCCTTAATATGGCTTGGAATGATCCAACAAACGACCCATCGCTCGTTGATGCTTTTAACACCGCAAATTCTCTCGGATTTAAATTGTTCTTCTCTCTGGATTATGCCGGGAATGGCCCCTGGCCGGTAGATGAGGTTTTGAATCTGTTGGGCAAGTTCAGCTCCCAGTCATCATACTACCGGTATCAGGGAAGACCGTTTGTCTCAACTTTTGAAGGACCGGAAAGTGCAGATGATTGGAAGCTCATCAAGGAGAGAACAGGAGCCTTTTTTGTGCCGGATTATTCTTCCCTTGGTGCTAAGGCAGCCATGGAGCTGGGAGTAGCTGATGGTCTCTTCAGCTGGGCCGCCTGGCCATGGGGAGGTCAGGAAATGGATACTTATACCGATGTCTCTTACCGCCAGTATCTTGAAAGTGGCATGCCTTACATGATGCCTGCTTCTCCATGGTTTTATACAAACCTCCCGGGGTATAAGAAGAACTGGGTCTGGCGAGGGGACAATCTTTGGTTTGATCGCTGGCAGGAAATCATGTTCGTCCAACCTGAATTTGTGGAAATCATTTCCTGGAATGATTATGGAGAGTCTCACTACATTGGGCCTCTGTATGATAAGGCAATGGAAGCTTTTGACATTGGAAAAGCTCCCTATAACTATGCCACAGATATGCCCCATGATGGGTGGCGGGAATTTCTCCCCTTCCTTATTGACACCTACAAAAGCGGCCAGGCCACGATCAATCAGGAGAGTCTCATGGCATGGTACCGCCTCCACCCGGTCAATGCTTGTTCAGATGGTGGCACTTCAGGGAATACTGCATCTCAGCTACAGCTTGAGTTCAGCCCCAGTAGCATTTTCCAAGATCGCATTTTCTACTCCGCTCTGCTAGGGTCGCAAGCCTCAGTGACTGTCTTAATTGGTGGCGCATCTCAGGAAGGTGGATGGGACTATGTCCCTGACGACAATATCGGTGTTTACCATGGCAGTGTACCTACAAATGGCCAAACCGGGCAGGTGATAGTGACCATTCACCGGTCTGGAGCCACCGTTGCCCAAATGCAGGGTCAGGCAATCACCACAAGCTGCACTCAGGGTATCCAAAACTACAACGCTTGGGTAGGAAGTGCCAAAGGAGGACCGGTCTCTGCAACACCATCCACGAAGCTCGCCGATCGGAAATGTATCTGAGGGACTGGTGCCAACAATTTCGCGGGTCTCTGCGAATACAGCTGCAAGTACGGTTACTGCCCTGACGCCTGTGTCTGTCAGGCCATGGGCGCTCCCCGAAAGCTACCTAATGCGACCGGCATCACTGGCTACCCGCTTGAGGGAGAAAGCCCCAGCTACCTTGGGCTCTGCAGTTTTGACTGCAACTACGGCTACTGTCCCGAAACTGCTTGCGGCACCGCGAGTGCCCCCTTGGTGACACCCACCGTGTCCGACTTTGCCCCGCCAGCCTGCGTTGCGGGTACAGGTGAGGGTAATCTTGCAGGGCTATGCAGCTACGCCTGTGGATTTGGGTACTGTCCCCGAAGTTCATGTCAGTGCACAACTACCGGCCTGCTTGTAGTACCGCCTGCAATGACCGGATCTGCCGGATTCGCGGCAGCGGGCCTTGATGAGAATATATACGGAGGTCTCTGTGACTTTGCCTGTAAGCGTGGATATTGCCTGTCTGGCGCATGTACCTCCATCGCTCCAGAGAAGCCTGCTCCTTCTGGTGAGCTGTATCCTAATGATGGAGACTATGCCGTGACGGGAAACGCAAAAGGAACTCGCATTTTTTTTGACAAAAAGGGGAAGTGTACCACAGATCAAGAAGCTTTTATCAAGGGGGCATATGACGAATTCCAGATTCTTGCTCGTCGTGAAGGGGTCACCAAGATCGACTTTAATTCAATTGCAGCCTCAGAATATCTTTCGCTTGCTGCCAAGAACAAGGATCAACAGGCAGCGATTCAAGATGTTTTCGAATACCTTTCTTCGGTCTACCCCTCATGGCTACCCACTGGCTTGTTCAATCAGTACATCTATACACGATGCGATGACCCCAGGCACCAGTGCATTGATCCTTGTGACCCCAGCAAATCTTCACCAACCCTCGCGTATACTGTGAATGGGGGTGATTATCCATATGTTAATTTCTGTCCTCGGTTTTTTACCTATCAAAAATTGGCTGATGCCATTGCCTACGGAAAAGCTGGATCGGGTTTTGAGCGCTATGACATGACTTAATATTACAGAAATCGCGCGACGGTCTTTTACCACGAGATGTGCCATGTCGACCAGAACATAAATGTACCACCCAATCCCCATATTACGGATCTCATGGTTACTATTGAAGAAATGCACGGGGATCTTCCCGTCCATTTTCCTCATAAAGCTTATGGTCCCAAGTTCACAAAAGTCCTGGCACGATTCGATGGCGACATTCTCAATTCGGCTGGGTATTATGTTCAACGCAACGCCGACAACCTCGCCATGTATGCGCTAGCCAGCTACGTGCAGGAGCAACTGGGTAACATTTATCCAGCGTGGCCCATCGTCACAGATAAACCATTCGATCCCCCGTATCAAGGGCACAACGTTATTCAGTACACCATTAATGACGGAAAAGTTGTGTTCACCAACCTTGGAGATGATACCGCCAAAGCAGATGACTGCGCCCTTTCGGCGAACGTCACGTCCATCGCAGATATCAACAAACTGATCCCATCGTGGGCCTATCCATCGGCCTATCGGAAGGCGAAAGCTTTGTGGGAAGAAGATCTCTTTCCATCCAAGGAACTGGAGAATATGAAACTACGAATCTTGCCGTTTGGAGGTACATTTTGTTCACGCTGACCTCAAGTGGCAATGACCGTCTGATGTATATCCGCAGATTCAATCACCGTCGGTACCAAGAGTTCTGACGGCAATGGATATCGTGAAAAGCTGGTTCTAAACCTAGCAGGGAATGATGTCAACATGATAGGATCTGTACACGCGGGATCAATGTCTGATAATGACAACGAGGGCCATGCCGATGTCACAATTCAGGGTCTTCGGTCCTACAGTGAGGTATTTGAGAATCGTCCAAATGTCGTGCTTCTACATGCAGGAACAAACGATATGGCTGGCAAATCCGCCGTGGATTCAGCAATCACCGAGCTAGGCGAGCTGGTGGATGACATTTTCAATGCTTGTCCTGATACTGTTCTTCTAATGGCACTGATCATTCCCTCAAGCGATACTACGGTTAACGATCGAATCAACCAATTCAACGAGCTGGCAGTTCAGCTAGTTCGAAAGAAGTTCGAAAGCGGGAAGCATATTCTCCTTGTGGATATGAATTCCTTCGTGACTACGGACGACTTGGCCGATGGAATGAATCCCAATGACAGGGGATATCAGATCATGGCTGATGCCTGGGCACGCGGCCTCCAGCGTGCGAATGCGATGGGATGGATATCCGATCCCATCACTTCCGTCACTACTACCGTCTATACCACCGTTCATCCGACGGTGACGAGTACGGTTGTGGTGACAAGTACACCTGACCCGACACCGACGCCCGTTGGCTACGTATACTGGTTCTTCGGTCTCGAGGAAATGGGAGACTTCCCTGTCTTTAAAATTCAAGGTTACGGCTCGAGTACAAGCTTTGATGAATGCAAAATGCGCCCAGAATGGGAGGAAAACAACGTTGTATCAATGCCTAAGAGCTTGAAGGGAGTGACCATCCAGGACGACGAATGCGATTATGTCGAGACCAACAGCTGGTATGAGGCAGCGAAAAATACGCAGGTGGGAGAGTTGGTCTGCTCTAAATTTGCCCGGGCGAAGTGTTACAAAGCAGATGTGACAAGCTTGGGCTGTCCAGGGGGTATTTTTACACTTGATGTGTGGACTTTTTGTGAGTGGTGAAGTGAGGCATAGAAGTATGATTTGCAATGTAGATTATGTAGATTATTCAACTAGCTTTGCTACTTGCTGTGCTTTTAACCAATAATCTAACTTCAAGTCCTTTTGGAAAAAGAAGAGTCGTCAGATGTGCTGCTGAATTTGAATGATGACGATGATGTTAATGGACTTCAACATAGAGCTATACTATGGTTACCTTACCATCCAGGCATATAAAAAGAACGAGGACGTGATCTAAGGGATATCAATCCTCAGAGCTCACTTGATCTATTATCTTACCAGCGTTGCGCTTGCTGTGGACTCCTATCTCAACGATAGTCTTGATTAGATGAACTTCCAACACGGAATTTGCGGGTACAAGCCGTGTAGTCAAGGAGGAAAGCAGCAAAGTGGCAGGTTAAGGGGGTCGTCATTCATCCAGAGAAATACTATTGTACAAAGTTCTAGTTGAGTACAGCTTCAGGTGACTCCCTAGGAGTTCCTTGGAAAATAGTTTTGCCTTTAGCCAATGTGGACATGGAACGCAACAGAAGATCTGTTTACCTAACTATTTGGGCTGGGTGAGGTGAGGTCATATGAGTGACAATAATGTCTAAAGTATAGTCTACAGTTAACTAACAAGATCACATTTAATGAGAGCTAACACATACACCGCCTAAGTGTTCCCAGTACAGCGGACTGAATGTACAAAACCAGCTAAAATCTTTTACTGTCATCTGCTTGTATTACCTATAGCCACTATTTCCATAATGGCTTCTGCTCTGAAGCTTATGGACCACTATGGACATAGGACCCACGACAAAGGTCTAAAACACTCTAATTGCTCTACACTCAAAGTTCAATATCCTGTGCAATAGATGCCATTGTTTCTTCATCCATCACGAGCTCCCCATTGATTTCATGAAAATTGTATTGGTCTCGTTACCGCCTCAGGGCTGGTCATGGCCACTCACTATTGGGTGAGGATGTGTCTGGGGAAGGCGAAGAACGCTTAGCGCAGTACTACCTTCCATAAAATAGGCATGGTGCCTGCCAAGCATCTGCGCAACAATAATTAACCGTGGAGCACCCAGCAATGGGCAATTTAGAGATTCTGGGCCGATATCCACACCTCTTATTTACAGATTTGTATGAGGCAGATGTTCTAGAACATGCTTATACCAATGAGTTGTTTCATATAATTAGATATCTCTTATCTGGCATTCTCTCTTGATGGTATCCTCACATGCCTGATTTCCTCTCAAGAGGATTCTCTCAAGAAGGCTTTCCTCTTGTTCAATGCCTTCTGAGCCAAGCTTCCCATGTTAGATCCCTTCATATTAAGCTATAACCATGAAAATCTTTTTATGAATAACTTTATGTGGCATACCACATAGCAAGGTCTAGGTATTCTATAAATCAATATAAGAAATGCTTCTCCGGTGGTCAACTGCTCTGAGAGGTTTCACTCATGCTGCAATAACTCACATTTATACAAACCTCTTAAGTTGAACTATATATTTGTATGTCATACCTAAAAAAGACCTCATGTTTTCATGAATAACATAGAACAGTGGCGCTTGATAGGGGGCCTGGCTTGGATCTGCCTGGTCTAATATAAACAGGGCAGCCATCAATTTCCAACAGCTAGTTCATAAAATGTTTAGCTTAACCCAAGGGGAAAGAGAGAATGCTTTTTAGGGAGTGTGGGCATGGGAAAGCTCCCTGGGAAATACCAAGGTGATTAACTAGTTTCAGAGCTTGCGCGAAGTGATGATGAGCACTCAAGTATTGAGCTGCTAGACATGTACTCGCCCCGCACATGCGCTGTATCACCAGTAACATGCCTCATCAGAGACCACTTAACTTCTCCAGGCCCACCCAAATGCAAGTTGATCACTTTGTTGCATCTTTTTGAATATGATCACAGCGCATGGTGCTGAAAAGAGATGAATATATTGTGCCTCAACACTAATCCATGTTACCTGGCCATGGCTCACGACATGAATATAAATCATGCCCATAATCATGTCCCTGCATATGGCATATATAACATTAGTCCTGCCACCGCATGCATTCCACCTGTGCCATCTCCTCATCCAAACCCTGCTGTGTCTGATGGTGCTGCTGCTAGATATCTATGGCTGCCCAATGATGGCTCTGGGCCTGCTGGGCGTGCCATATTCCCATGGGAATGGCTCGGCTGCTGAATGATTCAGCAGATGGCAATAGACTGATGGATGCCTCTCTTAATGCCTCCCTTGATGCCCCCTCAACGATTCCCTCAATGATTATCTTAATGATTCTCTCAATGGTTCGCTCACCCCCTCTATTCCTGCCTCTTATAATGCTATGCCTGCTGCCTCTGGGCTATTCACCACCTCTTATGCTTCCTAATCGGAGTCTCAAGCATCACACGCCTGTTTAGCCCCATCCTGATCCTGACAATGCTGACGCTGATACCCATTCACCACCCCATCTAAATACTAATCTAACACCACCCAGCAACACCCAACCCATCCCACTACCCCCACATACTCCGCAACTCATTCCTAACCATCCGCCAATACCCCCTCCATCCATGGTGCCGGCGCATCCCATCCACCTAGTTAGATAATGATTACCTTACTTAGCTGGCCATCTAGTCCATCCTACTCAACCACTTTCTTACACATAATCTAATAACGTCCGCGGTGTGCTAATGTGGATAATACTGTGGATATTAGGAATGTCCACCCCCATACCTAATGCGCTGGTGGCTACAATGACCATGCTAGTCCCCATAAATCAGTCCATACCCTGGCCTTATCTAGCTGGTCGCTATAATACGCCTCACACCCTAAATACCCGCGCCATGGCTGTCACCTGCCTAATGATATTAGCATATATAATAACCTTACCACCCGCTGCTCATCAGATCTGGTCCTGGATGAATGCCACCACTGCCTTACTCTCAATCCACTCATGCTAATTAGTGATAATACCCTAAATCTAGTAAGACCTCAAAGCCCCACCCCCCATGGGATAGAGCCGAAGTATCAAATTCCTTATCAACCAAGGCTATAAGCAACTAATTTGAGAATCTCCTTGATTGACTTATAGGCATTGGCTGGATCCTTGGCTATTATTTACCAGACTTCACTATATTTGGGTTTGGATAATATGTATTTTAATATAATATCAGCTTGCTTTTCCTGCAAAAAAATAATCTGTATTAGAAAGAATATACATGCTGGATTATACAGACTAGAAAATTAAGGGAATATATATCTATATCATGCTATAGGAGGAATTTATAATACTAGCCCTAGGCATTACTAAGATCACTATTAGATGTAATAGCCTTTTCAAACCAAGTTATGGCCTTTTTAAGTTAATATTCCTCCCAGAAGATTCATGTAACAGCAGTAAAAAGGATTAGATTATTATCTACCTTCTTAATGGCTTCTAAGCTTCAGGCCTTCTGCTAGGTCTATGGCTTAAGGTGCTATATGCTTTCACTCCATAGTAACCTAGAGGAAGGGACTTCTTATAATGTCTTTGCTATTAACACCTTTGCCTAGGGAATTTTATTTGCCCTCTATTTAATATATATACTTTTAGTCTATAGCTCTAGGTTGTTCAGCACTGCAAGGCAGGCCTTTTTAAGGATAGATCTAGCTCTAACCACTGCCCCTGTCACGGAACTGGTTTACAGGGAGAGCAGGCAGTAATAGATAGGTAGTTGACACTCATGAACTCTAGCTATGGGTCAGGCTATCTGCAGGTGCATAGACAAGACGTAGCTCGAGGAGCTATAAACAGCAGGCAGATTGGGATGCAGGATATTCTCAGTGTGGGTCATGTGATGATAAGGCTTCGACGGTGCCTCAGGCAACATATGAGTTGGCACCATGACAGCCCCAGCCTTTTTCTCTCTAGTCTTGCTGCTAGCAACTAGAGTGGAACTAACTTTAGATATATCTATATACCAGTTCTATAGGCGTCTCCTGCTTCTGCAAGCTTATTCTAGGACTTATATATTTAACCTTTTATTATCTAGAGCTTGTCAGCCCTAGTGTCAAGGTGCAGGCTCGCAGGCAGGCAAGGATGGGTTGAAGAGGTAGTTAACACTCAGGCTAGCTTCACTAATCCTTATCTAACAGTCCCAGGCTGCAGATAGACTAATACAGGTAGGCTCTATAGACAGGATGTAGCTTAAAGAGCTTTAAATAGGTTTTAGAATTATGTGGTGAAGATATTCCTAAGGTCATGTAATTCCTCCTTAGTGATGCTAACCCCTATTCACAGTAGCACTATGACAGTACTCCCCTCCTTAGGGTTAAGCTTTATTAAGACTATCCCTTGGTTTAGGTTTGCTTGGGTAGCAGTGGTGGAAATTAGCCATAATCTCTTATATGTTCCTTAGGTAATGGGCAGGTTCCTTAGTAGGGTTATTATAGCCCAGCTATTTAATAGTATACTTTAGATGGGGGCCCTATCAGCCCTAGTATTCCCAGTAGGAGTCTAAGATATCCTTAATAATCTATTCTTCTAGGCCTTTGACTTCTACTGGTGGTGGTGGCAGTTATCTTTATCCAGGAATAGGGTCTTTAGTAATAGGGTGCAGCAGGCTAATATTAAATATAGGGTGAATCCTCATAGAAGCTGGTAGTTCTAGCTCATAGGTGTGTAGGCTAATAATCTTCTTAATATAGAACAGCCCTAGGTGTTTCCAGTTAAGCTTCTTCTAGGGGCGCAGGGTCCTGATATTTCAGGCATCTAACTAAACCAGTTGTTCCACATGGTAACAGTAGGCAGGTCTCTGGTGGTGATTTGTCTGTTCTTCATAATGGGCCTAGGCAATGCGGATCTGGGCGCGGACATAGTTAACAATATCTTGCATTTTCTTTACAAAGGCCTTAGCATCTCTAGCAGCAGGGTGATTCACAAGCTGGACAGGTTCAAACCCCATACATAGGTGGAACCCATAATTCATGAAGAAGGGTGAGATTCTAGTAGCCTTAGATCAGACAGAGTTCAAG